CTGATATCAGTTGCCGCTGCCCAGCCCTAACCCTGCTCGCGTTCACGCTACCGCTGCTGTTGCTCACTATCGCTGCCGCTGTCGCCACTCGCCGCTCCTGCTCCTGCTCCTGCTGCCGCTGCTTGCCGCTGCCGCTGTCACCGCTCGCCGCTGCCATTTCCACTGTTGCCGCTTGCCGCTCTCGCTGCCGCTGCTCACTTTTACCACTGTCGCTGCACCCTTGGTCTTCCCTTACACTCCTCTTCCTTCTCCTCTTTCGAAAGTATACTGTTAACAGTATACAGTATACTGTATACTGTTAACAGTATACTGAATACTATTAATAGTACACTAGTAACAGTAATGTATTTATATTTATTAGATTAATATTATATTATTTTAATTTTAATACTGTTAAATAATTATATTTATTAATTATATTATATATTTTAATATTTTAGCGTCTCGCTTCGCTCGAGCGAGCGCCTAGCGCCTCGGGCGTTTTTGGATCTTGGCGTCTTTTGGCGCCTAGCGCTTTTTAAATCACTGGTTCAAATAAACAACTAGTAAACTAATGTGTTGCAGAACATAGCCCACAGCTCCTTCATGGTGATATGTAATAGTAATCTCTTTCAGGACAAAGTAAAACCATGTAGCTAAGCTTTAGCAGCAATATCCAGCAGAGAGAATTAAGGCACCTGAATACAAATTGAAGCTTTAGTTTGCTTTCTCAACCTAAAGTCATTGCGAGCAATCATTGCCCTTGAGCCTGTTTGCAACGTAATTGCTGACATTCGAAGTGCTGTATATGATTTCCTTGCAAAATATCGGCGCAAATTCTTCTGAATTTTGACTGCTGCTGCTTCACGTCTAATGCACTCATACAGTTTACAGGCCAGTCTTCCTGAATTTAACCAAATTGGGAACAAATTTGAAGAATTCTTTTACTGATGCACAAGAAATAAATGAACAACCAAACAAAATATTAGACTTAATAATCAGATCGCGGATCTCCCAACCAAATTCCATATAATTAAATAAAAGAACAAACTTAACTTAGTCTCAGGGTAACTTAATTTAAAGTTTCCATTAATAACTTTGTAACTTAGTCAAAGTGAATCACTCTCACTCTATTAGGATTATACCTCTCCAGAGAGACTGCAAATAAACAGATGCTTGCCGTAGCCTAAGGAACTCTTTACGAGCAATATATGTACGGATTTGTCTTTGAATTGTTCAGGCTGCTCTTCCAAGCACCTCTGCTCTTCTAGCATCTAATTCAGCCATCTGGCCAGCTCTCAGGAACACTTTGCTCTTGCCTAGCTGCCCATGCAAAGATTCACTATGTAAAAAGTGATATCCTCAAACAGTAATGCTTGACAAATAATAAAGAAGAAAAAATCAACAGATATATGTAGATAAAAGAAAAGTTATACAGAGCAAAATTCTTGTTCTCTAAATCTTTAAGAAGAAACAGGCCCAAAATATTGGCAGAATTCAGTGTAGGACAGAGAATCTGTAATGTAAGCTATTTCCCTTGTAGTTTCCACCCTTCTTATCAATTGATAAAAAGATCTGTACTGCATTCTTCAACGTTCTCAGCTCACTGAAGTTAAACCACAAGTTTTGCCCAGTACAGGACTTATCAAAAATTTTAAAAAATGGTAACAACAATCATACCTGGTAACCTTTCAATCCAATTTTGTCCAGAATCTTTTGGCATGCAGCCTTGTCATCAAAGCTGTCCAGGATTACAAAAGACCAAGAGGGGGTGCATCAGAATATTTAGATCAAATACATGCATCACTAGGTACTTCATAACTTATTTGAATTTTATTTACGTATGTAAAGAGGCTTACTTTCCTTCCAAAACTTCTGGAGCAAGAAGACTGAACCGAAGGAGAAATTCATAAAATGTTCTTCGAGTTGGATATCCAGCACAGCTGATCCTGATTGCTTCTAGAACACCTTACATGCGTGAAGGCAACAAAACAAAATGGTAAAATATTATGTAAAACTTCGAGAGGGAAGAGGAATCAATTATAGTAAGTAGGAACGTACTCCACAGCGCAATTGTTGGATAACATTGAAGTTCTCGAAAATAGAAGGTTTGAGGACGTTATTTGGCTTCACACATCTGATGTAATGTGGTTGTGTTGAGTTCAAGGTTTCCATCAGAGATTGAAGTTGTAGCTGAGATTTTTTTTATGATCACAAGTCAAAACTAGAAATATATTCATGAATAATTAAGTAATTAAATAAATCAACTTGTAAGTTTATGGCGCACAACTTTCTTAAAACAGTTTAAGGACGAATATTTGTCATATGATATATTCAACTTGAAAGATTATAAAATATAAATGTTTATACTTTTTAGCAAGGTATGCAATACCGTACCGTACCGGTGTTTCGAGGTTGACTCGGTATGGTACGGTACTGTGTACCGAGCGGTACGCTAGGGCATACCGAGCGGTACACCTAATTTAGGTGTAAAACCCTCCGAATATATCTGAAAAAAAAAAAAAAGTTATGATAGGGTTTTTAAGTTAGAAATAAATATAATAATAGCATAAGTTTAGCAAAATCAATGTAAATTAAGTAAGAATAGTATCATATATCTTTTTCAGGCTTTGAAGAATATCTTGTGCAAGGTTCGTATTTCAGTCCATTATGGATTGTCCTTATATAAACATACCTCTTGATTAGAAAGTTCTTCCTCTTAATCTTCCCAAATTAGCCTCGATTCAATTCATAAATTCATAAATCGTTGTTTTATAGAGTTTAGGAGAGCACAAATATGAGAAAAAAAAAGTTTGAGATAGTTTAAGAGAGTATGAGAATGTAATGGATTGAAATAGGAGAGAAGAAGGGTTTAAATACTATAAGAAAGGGCTCCAATGGTCAATTTGACCATTGGAGCACTGTATCACTGTTACCAAGCAGTTTTAAATATTTCTTCCTCTTACTATAGCACTGTAGCACAGCTACAGTATAGCACTATATCACTGTAGCACGTTCCGTCCGATAGTGGACAGTCCGCGTACCGGTATGCCGTCGGACCGATACGTACCGCCCATACCGGGCGATATCATTCGAAATTGCATACCTTGCTTTATAGATGCCGGTGGGGAAAAAGAATAAGATTGATGATCCTATTTGTATGACAAGCAAATCTCACTCATTTACTGCATTAGAATAAAATTTTATGTGGATAAAAAAGGCAAAATAAAATATACATTTACTATGACTAAAGAAGTCAAATGACAAGTGCTTTGTAATGTGCAGTGAGTTCTATACTTGACAGTTGTGCAAACTGTTGTCAGCACAGAGTGACATTCCAGACGTATATACATAAATAAGTACTACCTCAGCATATCACTACTAAAGAAGTCTAAGGAGTCAATTCATATACCAATTTATTATTAATTATTGAAATATAACCACATCATATTTATACTGTAAAAAAACTACCAAAAAGAACGGACAAAGAAAAAAATTACTTTAAAGCAGGAGCCAATGGAAGAGAACTTTGAAGACTTTGATGTCTCTTCAGGAAGTGGTGGAAATAAACCCGAAACAAATGGGCAATTGGAAGCATTTAGTAAATCCTGATGTTCTGCCACAACATAATCTTTGTTTTTGTCTAAGAAGTAGTCGGCTTGATATGTTACCTAGGTGGATAGTATAGATATACAAGTGAAACCCAAAGCAGATTCAAATAAAAGTACTTAAGCATATCATCAAATGAATAATTACCTCTCCAGCATAATGGCAGAATGTGAAGATGGTACGAGAAAGTTTCGGTTTTATAAATCTCTTGTTGTTTTTTAATGTCTGATACAATTTTTGAGCAAATGTCTCGTGTGTTGACCTGGGAAACATGCTGAATCAAGCAAAAAGTGTGAGATTGGCCAAAGTTCATTTTCCAATATTTTCAGAAGCATAAGTATATGGATATACAGGAATACCATTGTTGCTTATACTCAAGTACAAAAAAGATGAGGTGTTAACCAGCACAAGGGAAGCAATCAACACATACCAGGCTTCATCAAGAAGTGCAATGATGCCTCCAGGTTTCTGAAAGAAGATATAACTTTTTATGTCAAAATGACAAACGAAGTTGGCCATCACAAAGAAAATTCATACAAAACTGGGAAATAATTAAAAACATACAAATTTGCACATATGGAAAAGGAACAATATATCCACATATGTTAAAATAAATCCAGTAAAGATTGTCAAGTTCTCAAATTGATATGCATCACATTGACATACTAAAATCAGAAAATTTCAGTTATCAAGAAGTAGCATTGGCAGATGTACTTCTAGACTTCTACCATCCACTAGAATGATTTTGTTGAAGCTAATGACAATATTCTGGGATAATCGGTGCATAATCATACACAGTACAGGCTATACAAATCAAAGAATTGGCTGCACCAGTAGTTATTCTAGAAAAGAGACAGAAACATGTTAAGGCCACTGCTGTCATTCAACAAAAAACAAATAATATGCTATGGCTACCAATGCCATATAAACTGAGATTCTCAGTGCTACAACTGCACTGGGATGATAAAGTGGATTACTAATCGCTATAGTATATACTTAAATGGGACTTACCATTATTTCAAATATAGATTAAGCATATCTATAACTACAGAGATCTGGTCTGTTACCATCCATTCTCTTTTATGTTCATCAATAATCTTTTTTATCCGCAGAATGATGCACTCCCAACCCTGGCATCATACTGAATGGTGCATTGTTAAAGGGAAATTGACTCTACTCCAAATAGTGATACAGCCCTCGACAGGGCTCAGTGGCAGGAAAAAACCATGTAACTGAAACCCCCTGTAGACGGATCAACCTCCTGTTGTTTAATAGAATAAACCAAGGACTAGCGGTGAAATTGTATGTTCCAGCCAGTATTTACTGATCTAACAAGGATCAGTATTGGGCCATATATGTTGCTACTGATATTTACTTATTCATTTTTTATGATACTGACAGTAGAGGTCAGTATATTGATACTGTATGGATCCAACCAATTTAAATTCTTGGAATAAGCAGTGCATGAGCACCTAAGGAGAACATCTTTCCTTTAGTCTTGAGCAATTAATTAAAGTATATGTCCACAAAAAGGATTCACAACTAGAAGTTTCCATCCATCAATGATATTTATGTGTACCATTTTCTCCCCACCATACACTACAGTCAATCTTATACACACCATGGTTTCCTCCAGTTCACTTCTATGGTTAACAAAAAATGCAAACAAAGGAACAATTGGACAGAAACTAGACTAATTTTTCTGATACAGATCTATTCTTGAAGGTTACTAAGACTAATACTCACACCAGATGTTCTCTTGATATTTTATCCTATCAATATTTCAATGTTCTAGAAAGCATGATTGTTGTACATGAAAAATAAAGAAATAATCAAAATTTTATTAAAAAAAACAGCCAAAAGTTTCTCCAGTAAATCAAAAAACAAAACAAAAGCACAACAGGAAACAACTAACAATAATACACCTTCTCAATCAAATCCAGAACATCTTGGTTATCGACAAACTCTATGTAGCTCCAGTTAATCTCCTCCTTGGTATACTCCTCTTGCTCCATTTTGAAGACATGCTGCACATGGCATCATGTGTTAAATTATAATCAAGAAATATCCAGAATAATGTCAAAAGTTTTGGGAAAACCTGGTTGAAATGTTGTTGCAGCTTTTCATTTGTGAAGTTGATACAGAGTTGTTCAAAACTGTTTTTGAGTGCACGACACAATTAGAATCATCAACTAATAATTTAGACATCAATAGTCACCGAAAGAAAATTGTGTTTTCTTTGTCTTATTGATGGGATTACCTATTACATTTGAAACTTTCAAAACCGTATATATCCAGAACTCCAATCAGCGACTTTGAAGTAGGGTCCTGCCCAATCGATATATTAATTTTCTCTACAAGCCTGCATATGGTGTAACCAATCAAAAGTTTAATTGGATTATCACAAAAGCTCAGTGCTAGAATTATTAGAACAAAATATTAACAGAGACTACCAATCAAACAGATGGGAATATAAGGTTTTTGCTAAGCCATCCCTGCTGACAATTGCAGAAGCAGGATCAAGAGTTCTTGTAATAACTTCTTCAGGGGTCACCATGACACGTTTTATCAATGCATTTTCTAAACCCTTGACATTGCACCTGCCATAAGCATTATCACATCTGTTGGAGAAAAAAAATACGAATAATAAAAGAACAGAATCAGATAAGTTGAGCATACATCAGAAGTTCAGCTGCCATGTCAAGATGGAATCTTGACTTCTCGTCCTTGATAACAGATGAATCTATCTCTGGCCCTTTAACGAAATCGATATTCCCAATATGAAGTATAGCAGCTACAACCCTAAATATTGCCTCCTGAAATTAAAATTACAATCAAACAACAAAATTTAGAATTGAAGAATCATAGTTAGAATGAACTAAAGTCATATACCTGTTCCTGCTCACTGATTCCAACTATATCCATTGCCCTTCTAGTTGCTAGATATTCTTGAGCTTCATCAACCCCATCTAGCTTAAAGCATTTGGATTGGTTAAGATAATGAAATGACTGTGGATTTCCCAACTTGTACTTCTCAATCTCCTGCCATATAGGTTAACATTTCATACCATTCCCCTCCACGATGAACATAAGCCATTCCAAACAATGGCAGTGTGTGCATACTATATACCTCATGAGGTGCAGCACAGAGAAGGTAAAAGCAATGGTAGTTCCTTTCAGGATCATTAATTTGACAGACACGAGATCTTTCAAGTAAGTATGTTCTAATAGCGGCACTAGATATCCTTCCATTTTTGTCAAACTATATCTCAACAAACTTACCGAAATGACTTAATTGTGGCATCATGAACAAAATCAAGAAAAGAAAATTAGATATTTGAACATGAAAAATATATCATGGGAAACATATTATTCAAAGCTGATCAAGCATTTGTTTTCAATTTTCAACAAAAGCATCAATGTGATTATTGTTCATAGTTCATAATATTATTGACTGACATGAAAAAGAAAAGTTCACGAAAAGGAAGAACTAATATAGAGTTACCTTGAGTTATTGTTTCGAACAGTTTTGGCATTTCCAAAAGCTTCAAGAACTGGATTGGACTGAAAAAAACTGGAACATATTAGTCCAAACTACACCTGTCTGTGTTATTTGCTAAAAGTAAAAGAAGATATGTTATTTGCTAAAAGTAAAAGAAGATAAAATGCTACTAAACGGTAATTATCAAACTCTGGAAAAGAAAATTTATCATATCTTACTTCCAGAACTTGTTGTTCGACGGTCCGTCCTTCTATTCCAGATCGTCCACCCAAATATGCCAGGTATCTCATAAGCATTTTAGTTGTTTCAGTTTTGCCAGCCCCACTTTCTCCACTGACCAAGATGGAGTTGCTTTTCCCTTCATTAATCATAGCCCTGTTTATTAATAAAGGCATTCATGTAAAAGCATATTTTTTAGCCCTATTTGTTGTGAATTTGATTAATATTACCTGTAAGCAACATCAGCAACTGCAAAAACATGAGGACTTAGCTCCCCAAAATCTGCCCCTTTATATTGTTCCATGATGTGGGTATCATAGAGATGAGGTAACCTTTGAAATGGGTTCACAGCAATCAGGATATTACCGGTGTATGTCTGACGAAGCCAGAAAATATGTTCAACGACAGTATAGACAACCCTTAGTATCTAACAGCAATCAAAATATAAAAACAAAAAATAGAATTAGTGGCTCACATATATTTCATTAAGTTCATAACGTGTGGCAAGGTTCTGAAGGACACCAGGTTCATGCAAGTATGATAATTTTGTCATATCATCCACTCCAGCAGGTGGAGCTTCTGTATCCTTGGGAAACACTTTTGACATGTTTGCCACAACCTGCATGTGAGAACTTTCAGGGAACTTTGTAACCGCAATTCAGAGAACTTTCAAAACAAACCAGCAAAAACAACTAATTGGGGAACTATTGGAATCATCAGATGATCAGAAGTCCTGCCAAACCAATCAAAAGAAAAGTTTTGAAGATCAACTATAAAATACAACTGTACACCACCTGTTGGCATGTAAAATTAGCAGCATACCAACAACAAAGAAGCCTTAACTCGTAAAAGGAAAAAATTACCCATAAATAATCTAACAAAAAATTACATAAATTATTTGTTTAATACATTGATAAAGAGGTCATATTATGTAAACCATCTCATTCCATCTCTTTGACCATACAATTTATTTTAAGAAAAAAGGCTTAAATCAGAATACTAAGTTTAAATATTTGAAACGATATATGTATCAAGGTATGCAATTTCGAATAATACCACCTGTATCGGTCCATCAGTTTACCGGTACACAGATCGCCCGTTACCGGACGGAACGAAATATATATATATATATATATATATATATATATTATAAAAGGCGACATCGTGTCGCCTTTTATAAGAATATTTATATATAAATAATATATATATATATATATATAAATAAGGTGACGTCGCCTTGCATGGGAGAAGGAAAAGGCGATGTCGCCGAGGCGATGCGACGTCGCCTTTTATAAATATATATATATATATAATCTTTTTATATATAAATATATATTTATTAATTTATATATATATATATAAACGAGGCAACGTCACCCCTGCCTGGGAGAAGAGAGAGGCGACATCGTCGAATTTTATATATATATATATGTATATATGTATGTATATATGTATGTATGTATATATGTATATATATATATATATATATATATATATATATGTATATATTTATATATATGTATATATTTATATATATGTATATATTTATATATATGTATATATTTATATATATGTATATATTTATATATATATATATATATACATGTATATATTTATATATATATATATACCGAATGGTATACTGAATGGTATACCGCTCAATATACAGTTTCGCATCGTACCGAGTGAACGTCGAAACTCCGATACGGTACGAAATTGCATACCTTGATATGTATATAGTTTCAAATTGACCATGTTATGTTCTCTACAGTCTAGAATATGCAAAGAGTAAGATTAAATGACTGTTTGGTTTTAATGACAAAAATTTTGGGAATTCAACCAAAATTCAGTTGAAATTTTTGAACTTTTATTCTTTACGCAACATATATTTCATATTTACTTTGGTTAATGAACCTTCTTGTTGATAAAATATTTAATTGATAGAATTCCTTCTTTTAAGATTCTTCAATAAAAAGAACTATACTGTAGGGATGAAATCTTCAATCAAAACAAAGACTTATCTCCTTCCTTTTTCCTAAAAATCTTTAATCAAACCTAAGATTTAACTCCTTCCTTTCTTTATTTGGCTTTCTTTTTTGTTCTTCTAGCTACAAGCAGTGTAATAGAATTTATCATATGACAACTTATGACATCTGCAAAAGACAACTTAAACTAATAAAGTTTATTCAAGAAAATTCAAAATGATCCTGCTTCAAAATGGATGCTGTTTGTCCAATATCTGATCCATTTTTATCCCTATCAATTCATCTCAGCTGTTCCCAACAGATATTTCAGCAGATACAAACAAATCCCTGTATATCCATTTGAATTATCTGAGTTGGTTGGCTAAGCCAAATTGACCTAATTATGATTCCAAATTCTCCTGTCATTCCCTGTTCTCCCAGTTATCAATCAATCTAAAACTCAAAGTACCTCAATATAAGAAGGTATTACTGCCATTTTCTTTACCCTCTCCAATTCCCCTAGAGATTACCATTGTCCATCCAACACCACCGTATACCCACCCAGAACAAGTAATTGTGATGTGTCAAATCCAAGGAATTACTCAGAAACCAACGTCTGCATAGCCCTTGAAACCATAACTCCCCCCACAACAACACACACACACAAAAATCTAAAATTAAAAATAAAACCAAAAATTACACAAAAATGGAAAAAATCATTTATCAAACTATCAGTGTAGATATAAATCATGTTTAACTGTTGAAGAAAGACAAATTTCTAAAATGGATTAGTTAGGTAACAAAAGTCAATAGTTGGACTTCCATGGAAAAAAATCACAGCTTCTTTATCATTTAATAAGACTTTCAAAAGAAGTGACAAGCATTATATATGAACCGGCAAGTATAAAAGACTAACCAAAATGTACATCAAGATGAACAATGGCAAGATTACCAACAAGGATTTTGTTAAGTGAATGAAATTAAATGGTAAATACTTTGAATACATACTGTTTTCCCATTAGTTGTATGTGCATGGACCTCATTACCATTGATCTTAAAAACCTCGCCATCAACCCAAGCCAGAACTGGATCTTCAACCCAGACATGAGAACCTACAATGATGTTATCTAGGCTAACCTGCAATTGTATTATGGGTCAGACATGTCAATAAGAGCATATACAAATTCAATAAGAGCATCATATGTCATTCAATAACCAGAAAACACAGAATGAGCTGTTTAATTAGTCAAATTGTAACATAACAACCTCTTCAGATTCTAAATGTGAATTACGTAAAACATCAAATGAAAATTTTGCGGTGTTCTCAATAACTGAAGTATCTATCTCAGCAATTTTGTAAACGATTGCTAAAAATTAGTGAAGATCTTGAAAAATAATTGCTTCCTTTGCTCATGGCTGATAGATGGTCCCTGCAACCATATCAGAGCCAATGGCCTCCATCAAGCAGAGGATTGTGCTACACGTGGAGCTTTTACCCATTAGCAGCTTCCAGACTACATAGATTATATGAGAATGCAACCTCAGCAAGAGGCAATATGGGCAGGACCGTGTCATTAGGCAGAATATTGTGTGTTGATGTAGCTGAAGTTGGAAAAGCAATCATCTGAAGTTTGGCATGTTGGTGGCATATTAGGCCACAAAGACACAAATCAAATAGAGTAGTTTGAGAGAAAGAAACAGAAAATGCAAAGGCTGAAAAGAATGACTACAGCTAGTGGATGATGAGTCCTAGAGACAGAAAGGCCAGTGGTGGAAATCTAGGAGCAGAAGACGAGAATTCGATCAAGTTTTCAGTATCTAGTTGCATAAGACAGCAACCTAAGCATGCATCAATTTGAACACCTTGGGAAAAAAAGAACTACAGAGAATGTCTGCAGCTAGTGGATGATGAATCCTATGAACAGATAGGTCAATAGTCAAGTTCTAGAAGCAGAAGGCAGCAACTCAAAATTCTTGTTCCAGTTTTCTTAACTTATTACTTCCGTAACTCACCACTTGGTCTGACTTACACTGCATATATTAGGAATCATTCTAAATCATGAAAGTTCTCTGGTTTTTTTTATATTTTATTTTACCTAATATATTCTCATCAATAAATAGCAGCAATGCAGGACATCATTTGAATTCACTACCTAATGCAATCTTTGCCAGATGCATATAAATTTATACAATAGCACCAAGCTCCATTGTGATTTATATGCTCAAACGGTCGACTAGTGTCTTTTGCTTCAGAACTCAAATGTTCATTATGGGTGTATCTATGCCCATAAGAGACTAATTGGTTCCAACCTGTAAGTATGGAAATCAAATCATGTTTATCTACATCGTTTTTGGCATCTTGAGGTCAACATAAATAGAATTAACTCAGCCAAATACTGCACAAGCAATGTGCGGTCCACATAATATGATTCTTGATATTAAATGCATTCATAACAGCAGTATCAAAGAGGGAGGTGTTTAGACATTAGCTCCGTTGTGCAACTCTATTGCTAAGTGACTGGGAGTTAAAGCATACTTGGCATGGACATGGCAGTGAATGATGGCAGTTACTAATAGAGCATGCAACGTCCGTATCTCATGATATGTTGATTCAGATTTTGACAAAAAACACAAAATCAAAACAATTTCAATCATATTGTGGTTGTTAAGACAGATAAGTTTGAACAATTATAAGGTTCGTTGGTACTTGAGGTTCTAAAAAGACACCAAGTTTGAAAATAGTCCTAACTTAAGACATTCGCTGATAGAGTTTGTGAAAAAACTTTCAAATGTTATGTATGAACAGGTTTTGACACATTTGAATTTTACATTCATTTTCCAAGAGAAGTTAAAGGAGAGAAAGGGCATATCGCTATCGCATGTTTCTCGATGCACACCATCAACCAGTTAAGCCCATAAATTCAGGGGCACAATATGAAGCAACAAAGTGGATCAAAAGTCATTTTAAGCAAACGCTCTCTCTCCATTTGTCCTTTTATCAAGAATTCACAAATTTCCATCAGGGCATATCGAAGCCTGTAAAAAAAAATTGCAATTGATGAACGGTCTCCTACATGACCAGCCACGTATCTGAATCATCGAGCTGGTAGAAACATAGAGCATCTAATGACAAAAAAAGAATTACTCTATCCTTTATAACTAATTTTAGCCGCAAATCCCCACAATTTCAAATTCCAGACCGCCTCCACAGATTTCTATGGCAATTACAGGTTTGCGCGATAATTGTAGCCTTAGCATCTTAGAGACGAACACGACAGAAAAAACGACATCCTGGCGTGGAAAAACCCAAAATCTTGATCCAAATAAGAACATAATCTAAGGTCTTTGCACCGAACGGATATAAGAAGTCGGTTCGACGACAGAACACGTATTCCAATCCGCTTGTATTCGGTAAGAAATGACAGTCCGAACTGATGGCCGTCCCACTGCAAAACAGAAGCCCTAGAATCACGGATGCCCTCTAATTGCGGGAGGAGTACACAAGAAACTGAACCCGAAACTGAAAACGAAGAAGAAGACGACCTTATGGGGGGGTCCTATCTAGTGTTGACCAATCCATGAACAGATACCAAAACATGGAAGAGTAAAAGAGAAACTATTAATTCAAGAAAGCAACAAGAACGGACGGGGATACCGTACCATGGGTCATCCGCCCGGAGTCGGGCGATTCAGATGGAAATATCCTTGAGATACGATCGATTAGATCGGACGCGAGAAATGACGGGGAAGGAGGAGGTTCTGTGGGTCCTCGATGGAAATGAAGGCGATCGCTTCTCTCTTACCCCTCTTCTTCTTCTACTTCTTCTCTCTGTTTCTCTCTCGATGTTGTTCGTTCGTGGGAAGAGGCCCTGGAGGCGTCGTGGTATGCACACCAACAAAACAATAGCGCCGTTAAGTTGGGTGATGCGACGACTACCAAAACAAATACCGCCATCTTGATTCCATTCCAATCTCCGACTCGGAGCATTTTCTTTTTTCTTTTTTGTCTTGGTTGCCTAGCGTTTACGTCGCTTGACAACAAGAGACGGCGGAGACGCGCTGGTGTTAGTCGGCGCCCGGACAACAGTTTGTATTTTTTTTTCTTCTTCTTCTTCTTGTGTGAGAAGTCGCAAGTCGGAAGAAATTGTGGGGGGGGGGGGGGCCCATTGGTGTGGCAAGTCGCTTCCGCCAATCAAGAGGCAGGTAGGTGAACGAGCTTAGTCCAAGGGATGGGGGCACCGACCATGATAACCGTTAAAAAAATTTAAATAAAAATATTACACGGTATTTTGAGAAAAGGAAAATTTTTGACGAAAAAATCTTTAAATTTAGATGAAAATAAAAAAAACACGATAACTCTTGAAGGGTATTTTTGGAATTTTAAAATAAAAATCACCGATTAAAAAAAATTATAAAAAGAGATCTTAAAATAAAAATCACCGATTAAAAAAAATTATAAAATTATAAAATTATAAAATTATAAAATCAAAAAAAAATAATAATAATAATAATACCCGCAATCGCCCTTTAATTTACTCATAACAAAATATCTTGTCATCATAAAGATCATTTAGCAAAATCTCTTCCATCTCATTTTATTATTTGTTAAATAGGCTAATTAATTTTAGATATTTTTAAAATATTTATTTTCAGATTTTTCCTCTCTATCTCTTATCTTCTTACCGCGAGCGATGCAATGGTTGGCAAGAAGAAAAATAAAAATTAACTGATAGAAAAGGCCACTAAAATAAGGGGAATAAAACAATCTAAAATTACATGATTACGAGTCAACCCCTTAAGCAGTCCAGGGTTTGTCGAAGCCACCTGTGACGCCGTCGCTGGCGGATCCGATGGGGTCGAACAAGACGAGCAGAGGCGGCGGGGCGACCGCATCTCCTTGTGCCCGTCTCCGGGACGCCTACCACGACTGCTTCAACAGGTGCATCTCATTCCCCCTCTCCTCGTGTCCTCCTCAAGGGGCGGGACTCGGAGACGGAGAGATCCTCGTCGCGTCTGCTCCTTTTTCTTTCGCCTCTTTCTTGCCGTCGTCGTCACTGACGCGAAAAGGCTTCCATCTTTCATCTGGAGGGGGGATCGCAGGTGGTATTCGGAGAAGTTCTCCAAGGGCCAGTGGGACAAAGAAGAGTGCGTCGCCGAGTGGGACAAATACAGAGCGTGCCTCGCGGTATCTTCTCCTCCCTTCCTTCCCCAATGATCCGAGTGCGACAAATTTATTCGTTGGCTTGATTATGATATGCGTTTCGCTCATTCTTGTTATTTATGATGGCATGACTATTTTGTTCTAAGCAATGCTAGATTCCTGCATTGAGATGAATATAGGTAGATCATATGTCTTAGCAAAAGTTATTGATCACTCGGCCAGGCAGAAGGCAGCCAGAAAAAGGTATTGTGAAGAACCTAATGTTCGTTTTTATGCTAGTGTCGAATGCATTATGTAGTATCAGAAAGCAAGTTCACTTATCATTAGACGTAGTAAAGATGGGGATGTGATCAGTAAAACAAGAACAATAATTCAGAGGAGGTAGTGAAGCGAGTAATCGTAGTTGCTAAGGTAAAAAAGGCATTAGATGGAATGAGTGCCTGTCTTCAAACAAGAAAAATAAAGTACACTCAAACTACTAGGAAAGATGGGGATGTGATCAGTAAAACAAGAACAAGAATTCAGAGGAGGTAGTGAAGCGAGTAATCGTAGTTACTAAGGTAAAAAAAGGCATTAGATGGAATGAGTGCCTGTCTTCAAACAAGAAAAATAAAGTACACTCAAACTACTAGGAAAAAGAGCTTGCTAAATATACAAATTATGTTCACTGCCACCGAGCGAAACACACGTAAAATGAATGATCTTTTGGTATCCAGTCTTTTTGAAGGATGGAAATCATCAAGATGCACTCTCGGTGTACAATCCACAAGAATCACATGCTCAGCTTTTTTCTTTTTTTCGGTTCTTTCCTACATCTAATTTTCGAGCATGATGCCATCAGAAAACATGACTGACTTCTAGACTTGGCTTTGTGCCAGCTACCTATAGCAACACTGGCTAGTCAATACTGAGAAACAAGTAAACAACAACATCACATCAACAATCCTGATATTTACATAGAAACTTTTAGACAAGTTTGCAGGATCCAAGTCATTTCTTGTTCCGAGTGGTGCTTCTTGTTCAATTTCTGTTGTGATTTTTTTCCTGGCATGGACTTTTCTGTCCAAAAATCTTGAAACAAAAGAAAGAGCCACTGCCAATGAGTTTTCAAGCCTTATGGAATGTTGATACGTCTTCTCTTTATGAAATGTCAAAGTTGATACATTTGCACTTTATGGAATGCCACTGTATCTGAACCATTATGCATCTGATTCCTTTTAATCTTTTAATGATTTTAGCCTTTTAACGTAGAGTATCATCATTGTCATGTGCAGCAACATTTGGAAGACAAACATCTGAGGCGTATACTCTTGGAGACAGAAGCTTCTCCATATTTTGTTAAAAATGATGCAAGCTCCCCTGCAGATAGAGATGGCACCACCCACCAGTGACTATATATTCATGAGGTGCTTCTTGTTCTCCAAGTTTGCACTCATTATTTGTGATATTGCATCATTTGGTCACAATGAGAAGATGCGTTGATTATGATAGTGTCGTAACCGTAGCATGCAAGTGGGTGGAGGTGTATTTTAGGCTTTGTTCAGATTTGTCAGCAACAAATTTTGATTTACTAGGATCGGGAAGATGAAACCGACTCCGTAGTTAATTAGCCGGGTACTTCTGTTTCTTCTTCTGTTCCTTGCTTTCTTCTTCTGTTGACGGCAGAAGGAAAATCGAAGAGTGAAAGTTTCACTGGAAGACGGAGAGATATCGTCAAAAGGATTGAGGTAGGCATCCCACCCTCATTTGATTTTGATTGGTATCAACTGATCTAGCTCATGTTTCATGCCCAAAATTAGATGATTGATCTAACCCATGATTGTCGTTCGAGTTAAGTTCTATAGATTGATCTAGTCTCTGTTTCTTGTTCAGATTAAATTCTTAATCTGGTCCTTGTTTTTCCTATTTTATTTGGTCTCTAATATCCTATTTATTTGATATCTAATGTTATTCAATGAGGAATATTTTGTTTATGAAATTTGTACCTGTTGCCACATCAGCGATCTACATCACCTGCCATCTCAGTGTTGACTGCTGTCATGTCAGCCTATGCATGTGTCAACTCAGCATGACTGCTGACACAGCAGACTGCATTGCAGTCCGCATGTCTGCCCCATCAACCTGCCATATCAACATTGTTGCCACCTCGGCCCAGGTGCCACGTCAGCAATGCCCGATCACACAGTAGACTGTATTGCAGACCATAGTATGCTGGCACTGTCACTTGCCACGTCGATGCTAACTCACTACGTCATCACAGGCTGTGTAAAGTCAGTAGTGATGGCTGACTTAGGAGACTGCATTGCAGTCCTGCCCATATCATCTGCCACGTCACACAACAGTCATGTCAATGATGACCCTACTGCCATGTCACCCATACTTGTACAGTCGGCTTGCCTGCTGACACAACAGTATGCTGTCAAGCTGAGTCTACTGTAACATGCCATGGTAGCATTATTTGCTGACACATAAGCACTGACCATTGTCATGTCAGCACTGTTCATTGACACGTGAGCACTGTTCAGTGTCATATCAGCGCTGGTCACTGCTGCATCAGTGCTGACTGCTACCATGTCGACACTATCCATCGCCATATCAGCAATATGTGGAGCCATGTCTGCTGTAAATGCTGACACAGCATGATGCATTGTGGCCCAACAGGATCTGCCACATAGGCATGGCTATGACCAATCTGGACTGGTCCAACCTAGTCACCTAGCCAAATCAGTGCAATTTGGTTAGATCAGCTTGATCCTAGATGACTCATGATTGATTTAATCTGTCCTCTAGTGGGTCGAACCAAGTCATGTATCCTGATTGAATCCAATCATCATGTGGTTGAACCTGACCACTTACTGATTGAACCCAAATCATATCCCTAGAATGAACGCAATCATCATGCGGTCAAACCTGACCACATTATGGGCGAGCCCAATCTATACACCCAATTTTGATTTGGGGAGGCTGAATTCTGAATAAGCCCAAGTAGTGGGCTGGTTATGTGGCCCAACCCACAGGGTAGCACTGCGGGCTGTTAGTGGGCTGAACCCAGAACAGGCCCTTGAACACTAATTTAATTGGAAATAAGATAATTAATAAATATGTAAATACTTTAGAATAGTGTAGAAAATAGTAAAAAATTACAACAAAAAAAAAAACCCAAAGATGCAGAAAACTCCCTGAAAATGTTAAATGATAAAAATGTGATCATTGGGTTACTTTGAGTTCCATAGTTACCTATAATTAATGATTTAGACCTGCTAAAACCTATACTTTGCAAATTGTAACTATTTGTCATATTATATCCCTTTGACTCTCTTTGACTTTGATTGACTTGGATGCTGAATATGTCAAATTTCCCTTTGACTCATCTTTTATTTTGTGTATGTACATGCATATGGACGTATGATTTGATGTGACTTGGTCATATTGATTGATGTGTGATATTGATTAGAGATACACTAGTTTTTCTACTAAGAGTAGTAGACCTGATAGGATGATTCTCTAGGTGCGTAGAGCACCTAAGAGATGAGTGGACCGTCGGATGTGATAGTTGTTCGGTCTTCCGCTAGGGAAAGAGGAGATGTGTCGTCACCGTGACAGGTGAGGCACCACTCCATCAATTGTGGGGAGTGCGATATGATTCCTCTTTATTAACAGTTGGGAGAACTGAATCATCCCGAGAGATTCGGGCATCTCATTTGCCGATGATGACATGTGCATGATGTTTGTTGTATTTACATATATGATCCTTGTGTGGATTGTACATTGTATTCTTTCATGTTGTAACCATCATTTGTGAAGCTTTTTTATCATTTTATTATATCATCTGCTTGGACGCACCTTTTGCCTACTCAGGATTACCGTACTCAGCATTGTTATTGAATATTATTGTTATAAAATTTTTCAGAAGCCCAGGACAAATAGTGAGCAAGCACAGGAATTGCAAAACATGTCATATGAGTATAAGTATTGCTGAGCAATCAACTCCTAACTTATTTCCTTCTTATTAGGTTTTCATATTTAATTAAATAATATCGAACAATTTATGTAATAAGTTGGATCATCGTTGGATTATTATTGTTATTATAACTTTTAGTTATATGGCATGTGATGATATCATATGATGTTGTCGGTCCTTGATATTTGTGCTAGAGTGTACTTGGCTTGAGGCGTGCCAGAGAGAGCCAGGCCTGTCACCTGCAAGCCTCTTAATTAACTAAATCCATCATTTGGTCACCTGCTGTCTATGTGGTGAAAATGTGTTTTCGTGGTCGCACAACTGCAAAATGATTTAAGTCTATTTTAAGTTGGTAGATGATTCACTTAAACTACAAGCTCGATGTAGTTTTGGAGAACTGATAGTGGAACCATACCATCAACTTTTTTCCTTCAAAAGATTGATTAGAAAAAACAAAAATAGGGTTCTTAGTTATTTATGTTGCCATAACTCAGTTTTTTAAGCAGTCATGGTGGATTAGTTTCTTTCCCAGCAAATAAAATGTTGCGACAATGAGTTACTGTGTTTGAGGATGGGCCCTTTCACTGCTTTTATAACACTGCACATGCTCTGAGTTATTCTTGTGAGTTGAGAAATTTATTTGATCCTAGCAAAAAGGTTTGAGTGATTTTATTTGGTCCAGGTCTATGGGTACAACCATATGGTCCTCGGGACGGCCTGTATTCCTAGCACAGAAGAGCTTGCTTGCTTGCTTGCTAGCTAAATCTTTCCAGTGGCAAAACTATGGAGGTCCGGAGAACTTCAAATGGCAACTGAAGAAATCAGAGGAAGTCAAAATGCAGGCAGATGATGGTTCTTGCAATTGTACTAATTAATGGAGTGTATGGCTAAAACTTCCAAGTTTTCTCCAGGCTGCTAAGATTTTTGAGTTCTGACTTTTCATTAGCAAGTAATAGTAAGAAAATCAACACACGACCATATTCCCAAAAAATAAAATATATATATATATATATATATAGTTTGGACATCATCATGTCTTATGCTTCGTCTTGTTGTTGTTGTTGTTGTGAAAGCCTTTTAGACCATATATTCTTCTTTTAATTGTTGGTTGTTACTCAAGTTAGCATGCTGTAGTAGTACTACAACTATACACTAGCCATCGTGTAGCTACTTCTTTTTGTATCTTTCAATTGGTGATGGGTATCTTTCAATCTTATTATTGCGTCTATGTCCTTCGACCAGACATATCGAGTCGGGTCGGATTTGTTGTGTTCGAAGCGTACGTACGTACAAGTTAGGCTGTAAAGGATGATGTTTTTCGTTTTGTTGTTACATCAAAACATGTATGTTATGCTCTCATTACTTTTGTACAACAAAACCTATCCATCCGACGGGCTGTAAAAGGGTGGGTGTCACAGTTAATATGTATGGTTCGATACAAGGAAACCATACGAGGTTAACTTTCACGTGACCATCACGTGGGGCACAAGCACTAGATATTCTATTTCCCCCAACTATATATATTCTACTCTACTCTACAACTCCTCAGTCTCTATATATATTCTACTCTACAACTCCTCCTCAAGTCTCTCTCTACAGGAACACGAATACCACCGGCTAAAGATGAAATAAGAGGAGGAAAAAACACCCCATAAATTAACATTTTTTTTCTGTAACAAATTCTATTACTTTATTTTTTATTTTTTTTTTACTGAAATTCTACATTTAGTTTTAAGTTTTTATGACTTACTGGGAGATTAAGTAGGTCAGTAATATGGCTTTATTAACACCTACACAAAACATACCTCTAGAATCTACGAGGAATAACATCCTTGCATCATATGAATGAATGAAAGAAAGAAAGAAAGAAAGAAAAAAAGAATACCTAATGAAACAATTAAAAGCATTGTCTATATGAAAAGTTCAAGAAAATAACTTCTTGTGAGACGAAAGCAAGAACCAAATACTACATAAGAAATTTACATTTGCAATCATAACCATAATAATGATCATAAAGTTTTAATGATAATGCAATTTACACAGCATGTTTGCAGCAAAATGTCAGGGAAACAAAAAAAAATTTGTAATCCACGAATTACAACAGTTCATTCAAGCATACGACTACTGCTTTAAACTAAGACTTCACGGGTAAAGCCTTCAAATCAAAAGAATGCACCGACGTTTTAACAGGGTACCTTTTCGCAACACGAATCAGGAGACAAAGAAAAGCTCCGATGGCTCAAACAGATACTTCCATCATTAAAAAGGTCTTCATCTGTATGTCCGAATGTTCTAAATACATAGAGGTTAAAACTGAATTACTGATTCTCAATTCCACATCCCTTGAAGAGAAGAAAGAAAGATTGTCATGATGCAAGCCTATTGTTCTAGTAACTTCCAAATTTCAAGACTGCACAAAAGCTCTTACATTTACAATGTTAAGCTGCAACTACTGAATTCTGAATGTTATTTGGAGGTCATCTTCGACTGAAAATGATCCTATTGCCATAAAGAAGATGATTACCATGGGATCTCTCAAGATTCGGGCCTTTCATCCCTGTCAGAGTTATGATCATTTTTTTCATTTGTATCCTCCTGGTCCTCATTTTCCTGGATGAAAAAATATAAAAAATAAAATAAAATTTGATTAATCATGGATGCTGATAAGGGTTATGCAGTCATCAAACTTGCAAACATCTCTACATTGGGAATACAGCAGAAGAAATATGGTTTCGTTGATTATCGTTTTGCTTCCAAATTTTTTGTGTACAAGTCTGAAAAAGAGCTTACCTAATTTGTCAATATAAGTACCATGATAAATTTTAGCTTTATGTGTAGCTATTTGCCACTACACCTGATACAACATTTGTATAACTTGTTTTTTAATTTATGTATATACAACTTGTTATAAAATTTCCAGCATTTCTCGTTAGCCTCGATGAACCTTTTCCTAGATGTTAGCATTAGACTACCATAATCAACAAGATAATAAGCAAGTTGCAGATGCAATTTGTTGATACATAACAACATTATCTCATCCCTCGAGAAAGTTAGCCAACACCAAACTAAATAATTTTCACTATAAGCCAACTCCTACAAGCCAAAAGCTTATACTGAATTCGGTGCACCAGCTGGTAAAATCTTGTTGCTCCGTTAACAAGTAATTCACACATATTATGTCTTATCTTTGAAGCACTTTCATATAGCTTCCATTTGCTGCTACTTGACCCATATCTTGGTTCCTTGCCTACACTACATGGAGCATATGAAACCAGGTGATTGCAAGGATATGCTGCATCATCCAACTGGTAGTGAATATCAGATTCTGTATGATAATTATAATTAAGTAATTATCTACTCTTAGTGATAATTACTTAATTATAATTAGTTCTCAGAGTTGGGAGTTCCATTTCATACATGGATCCATTTTAATAAATGACCAATATACTTGTAATAACAAGTATCAATTTATCCATTTATTCCAATGCCATATTTCAGTGATTGCTCACAGTTTCTATGGTTAGAATCAAACAATGATTATCATACCATATTAATGAGACAGCATGTGCTGCAATATGCAGGCTGTCATGCTTATGTCAAGTTTGAAAGTGCCCAGGCGCAATGCTGGTACCCCATTAATAAAGTTTATGCACACCGGCAAGGGCAGATGACTAATGCCAGAATACTTGTGCCACGCCAGCCAGCATGACCAACTCTTTAGATCTCTATATATACCATGCCAGAGAAAGTGAATTTCAAGCTTAAGAATACCAATGACGATTAAAACTAGAGACAAGAACACAAAGAATTAAAAGAGGAAAAAAGGATTAAGAATACAAATGAATAAAAAATCATTTTATTGCTCAGAAACTAAACTTCAGATGTAATTTCAGTGGCGCACCATCTAGTTATACCAATTCAACGCTACAAACAAAAAAGTTGCATGTATGTCTTGTTGCTTGCAGAGAGCCCTCAGATGCATGATTCAGCCATACATCACTCAAACAAATTTTTAAAAAAATCCAAAAAAAAAGAATGAAAGCTACTTTTCAAAGACCGTACCAATCCTGATTTGTTGAAGATCTAACATGTGGTAGTCCACACTACTATGTTAAACAAGCTCTGTGATAGCTATAATAAGCCAAAATATCCTTTTAACTTTTAAATTAATGGCACATGCTCCCAAGTGTTCTACAAGACTAGTTCCGAGTTCCAACATAGGCAAAAAGTTGCTTCTTAAAGATCAAAAATTTGACAGAAGGATTATCATAAAGTATTGTAACATACAAATTAAACATCAGTTCTGGTGAACATCCAGTAAAGGAATCAAATTTGAAGTTTAATTTTGTAACTTTTTATGAGTTAATAGTGACTTCTGGACCATCAAAGGAAGCCAGCCAAAAGTTGCCAAAATTAGAGATAGCCACTAGTCTGTGGTTGACACCATCATCATAATTACTGATCCTAAATTTTAGATTGAATTAGTACTAACATGAGACTGCTTTATACGATGTTGTTGACAAACCACAATAATGCATCAGAAATTTTGCATTTCCTGATTCTCAAATGGATGAAACCTTGATATAAAGATCTCAATGGCATACAAAAATAAACATCAATACATCAATCAGTTTATGCTTGCAGATTTATTCATAGAAACAGGAAAACTGACAACATAACAATAAGTCTACAATAGCAAAATCAAGTTTAATCGTGGCATAGAAAATTACTTGGTTGGCATGAAATATGTAGGAATCATATCATAATGGTCAAAGAAAGTTGAAAGTTCCAATATTTCAATTAATATTTCACTTTGATCCATTCAGAATAAAGAATGATGAGATACTAGAGAACACAAGACTAGTGAAAATCGATCACATCAAATCAACAGTCAATAGGTCTTGGTTATTCCAAGAAAATGTGATTATTTTTTGAGCCCAATCATACCGCAAGCTGGAAACATTGGGAGAAGAACAGTACCTCCTCGAGATCCATATCAGTCGGTCGTTCCTGAAACTGAACACCTGGAACATGTTGGAGCTTTGAAAGATATTCTAGTAGTTTTACCTTTATGTCATCCAACGACTTGCGTGAATTCTTGTTTTCCATGTTACTTGTTGCAACATGGATATTATAGTCTGGGGCGAAATACCCAATGTATTCATGATCAGGCACCTTATCCTCCACTTCAACACCAAGGGCAACTCCTGTCTGCTCCAAAGTTGAAAAACTAAATGTGATTAGAAATTAGTCAGAAGAATTCATCGAGTTGGGAAGACACTGCATGTTACATTCACAGAATTTTTTTTTAACACTTTCAAAAGTAAAAGAGGTCAAACATTAGCTAACCAGACCTTTCTAAATAGTTTTAACAAGGGCGATGCAGACAGGCAACGGCACAACGAGTGAAGGTTATGCTCATTAAATCAGAAAACGTAACAATATCCAAAAGAAGAAGTATTCATCAAATGTCAAGCATGACATGAAACTAATGACAGAATTAACTAAAACATCGACATTCTCAGCAACAAGCATACCATGACAAGAAATTTAAAACATGACTGCTTCAGATGCAAACAACAAACCGATCCACTTTAGGGACACATGGAAGATAGCTATCAGAATTATAAAAGTCTGTGACGAAAGGCTGCACAAGGCACCTGGTAAAAGCTATGATTGATGAATATGCAAGGAAACTAAGTAGTTAAATGGCACAAGATACGTCCTTTATACCTCGTAGCACCAGCAGCGAGCAACATTACGTATTGTATACCCACCGCCACCAAGCAGCATCAGTGGCACATTAAAAGATCTCATATATCTTACACACTCTCCATGGCCTCTGACAGAAAGGTTGAAACAACCCAACCTGTCTCCAGATAAGGAGTCAGCACCACACTGAAGTACCACAGCATCAGGCCTGAAAACTTCCATGACCTTTGCCATGATAGGTTTGAAAAGATAATGGTAGCTTTCATCATCAATTCCATCATCCAAAGGGACATTTAATGCATAATATTTTCCTTTACCATATCCAATATCACGTATATCCCCAGTCCCAGGAAAATAATCACCAAATTTATGGAATGAGACCGTCATTACTCTATCTGTTGTGTAAAAGGCCTCCTCTACCCCATCTCCATGGTGAATATCAATGTCTACATAGAGAACACGCTGCAACCAGATAAGAAATGAACATGTCACTGAAGAAGAGTGGAATAAAAGAAGACGGAGTACACTAAGATAGAACTCGAAATGAACATGAGCAACTGCAGCTTGTCAATCAAATGCACCATATCAAACCATCAATAAACTCATCCCAGATCATATTGATCCAAATATATAACAATGGTGAACTGGGTTTTGTGATTACTGATTATTTTGTGAGGCTCCTTCCTCGGTAACTGTTATGTAATCTGCACTACTCAAAAAGGGCTGGGATTTCACAAACATTTAATTTATTTAAGATGAATAAACTCATCTTGGATCATATCGATCCAAATATATGTTAACGGTGAACTGGGTTTTGTGTTACTGATTATTTTGTTAGACTCCTTGGTAACTGCTAAGTAAGCAGCACCATTCACAAAGGACTGGGGATTTAACAAACACATTTTATGTAAGATGAAGCTGCTTATGGTGTCTAAAAGGCCAGAAGGATTTCACGATGTACTTGTCTGTCATTTGGTCAAACGTGTGCAATTGCAGCTCCAGGATTGGTACGAGTTAAATCTGGCAAAAATTCCTAAGCAGCAATTCGAGAATATAAGTGCATATATCTCTTCAAACACTTGTGTTGTACGAGAACCCTAATCTCAAGAGCAAACAAAGCAATTCAAGAAAATCTTCTCAAGTCAATAGCGCGATTTAGGGAAGGTAATAATGTCAAAAATATCAGAACTGAATCTAGATGCAAAAACAGAGGAACCTCTCAAAGGATTGCTGATTGAAACAAGGAAAGCAACATGACCTCGATCTAATCCCAAGATCAAAGGAAGAAAAATCTTTGCATGATACGAGAATGTGAAAAAAAACCAAGTCAAGCCAGAAGCAGTAAGTCCCTTGGGGGTCATTGTTCTTAGTAGACGGTATGTCGATGAAGCCATCGTTACGGTCATATTTTGTTGACAACATCTATTTGCTCAAAGGAAAATAGAGAAGATATTGGATTGAGGCAGCACAAAAAGGTGCGATCATTCAAAGGTAAGAAGAAAACCAGTAAATAGAAAAAGGAAGGTGAGGAAAAGGAAAAGGTGCTCGATGGATGGATCGAGAGCGAGGAGAGAAGCAGGGGCTCACGTCGTGGTGCTCGAGGAGAGTGAGGATGGCGAGGACGATATCGTTAACATAGCAGAAGCCGGAAGCCTCGCAGCGCTTGGCGTGGTGGAGGCCACCGGACCAGTTGATGGCGATGTCGGCGTGGCCGCGGTTGAGCTCCTTGGCGGCGCCTACGGAGGCGCCAGCGTAGACCTGGCAGAACTCGTACAGGCGGTCGAAGACCGGGCAGTCGTCGCAGACGTTGAAGCGGCGGAGGGCGCCGGGGTCGCTCAGGGCCTCAGGGTTGGCGGAGCGGAGGAAGGCGACGTAGTCGTCGGCGTGGAAGCGACGGAGGATGCGGTCGTCAGCAGGGGAGGGGCGGAGGACCCGCATGCCCCCGAGGAGGCCGTAGCGCTCGAGGAGGGCATGGGTCATCCGGATCCGGTGGGGCTTCATCGGGTGACCCTGCCCGTAGTAGTAGTTGCCCACCTCCGAGTCGTAGAAGTAGCACACCCTCCGCTTCGTCGCGGCCGCCCCCGCGACCGAGGGCAGCGAGTTGCCACCGCCGTCCATGTGCCCGCTGGCCAGCTTCGATGCTTCGGACCCCCACCCGCTAGAAGAGGGGGGGGGGAGAAGGGCCGGGTTTCAGTTAGTATCCTCGTGGAGGAGACGGGAGAATGACAGGGGCGGAGGCGAGTCGAGGAGAGAGAGAGAGAGAGGGAGCGAGAGAGAGAGGGAGACACGTCTGTTTATTTATAGAGAATGGAGGGTTTTAGTTTAATTTTCCTTCATAAACAATTAGCAATTGGATGTTCGGAGGATGGAATGGGGGTTCGGTAAAAGGCTTTCGTCTTGGGAAAACCAAAACCTGTGGTTTCCAAACGGCGTATTCTGAAACTAATAACAATATAAAATATAAAGGGTAATAAAATGAGAACTTATTAGTCTTGCAGTGTCTGTCAGTATTCCTAAGCACATCGGAGGGAGTTCATAGTTTCAAAGACGACGGAATAATTCTCAATAAAAGAGGCAAAAAAAAAAAGAAATATATATCATTGCCATCTACGGTGGCAATACAGTTTTAAGTTGCACACGAGTCTTAGTCTCTCGCACGTGTGGATTGGCTCGCACGTCAAAAAATTGACGGACGATGCCCAAAAGGGTGTCACGTAAACACGCGCGCGCGGCTGCGAATGTTGCAGTCGCGGAATCAGATACATTGAAAGGACGTTCGGATTTGGGCCCTTTTTCCACACGCTAATGATCGAGACCAATCTTCCTCCACTCACCACGCGGGCTTGGCCCGCACTACAATCTCAATTGCCCGTTTTGCTTCTAACAGGTGGTTTGTGTTGTTTCCACCGCGGCATGATTGACACGAGCGAGATATATTAGATCTCAATAAGCACCACTCTTCCCGAAACACAACCCAATCTGATTTCTATCGCATTTTCTTTCAAGCCATGATTCTTTAATAAAACCCAAAACTTAGCTTTAATTTTGTTTAGATATATTAGACCATCAAAATCTATAATAATGTAATGCAACAAGTAATTAAAATTATAGAATCAGGGAATCGCATCCACGCCGCTATTATACTCCTACTCTTCCGCATGGCACTCGCCGTAATGCTATGAGGTTAGACAAACTGATAACCAAAAACTTTCTGAGATCCGGCAACATGACGTGGTGGGACCCTTTGTCATCTTTTGCGGGGGTTGGTACCGAACAGTAAGGCGATGTGGGCTCGGCCCCGTGCCACCCCAATCCGTTAATCCTCGTCTATGGGCTCTTTTCCATTGCAAATAGGTGGTGGTGGCTTCGTGTGCAATCGGAGTTGGTCCGCATCATGTTTGCTCAATTGACAACATCAATTACCGACTCATCATGTACAATATCATTGTGGTCAAGTGTTGAAGATGGAGTGATCATCTGTGAGCTACACTAAGGAGACGGAGGATAACATTAAAGAACACAATGTAATAATTGTTAGGTTTTTGTGACCTTTTTATAATTCGATAAGATATATAATATAATTAATTAGATTCCATTGAAATATTTTAGCCAATAGAATAGAAGTCCACTTACGGCGATTCCTTGGAGATAACATTAATGGGAGGAAATCTCCTAAGATCTTATCGTAGACCCTATGCTCTCGCCTATAAAAAGACAGGACCTCTAGGGGGTTGAGAGAGTGTTGGCACGTGCTACAAACGTACCTCTCCGTTGAGGGATCTACTCAACTCTCTCCCCAAAAACACTCTCCTCCAAAATCCATCAATCTTAGCGGCATCAATCTTAGTGGGTCTTATGAAATGATAGGAAGAGAGGAGAAAGGATCTACTCATTGCATATTCCGCAGCGATATTGGATTAAAGACGGTGCTTGTAGCGATCTTGGATTAAAGATGGTTTTTGGATCAAAGACGGTGCTTAGCAGCTCAAACGGGATCTCTAAACAAATGGTATCGAAAGGTACATATTGTAATAATTAGATCTATGCATTTGATTCTGATCCTAGCATAAAAGTTATTTTCACATTTTTGATATGGCATAATTATAGATTTTATGCTTACATTTGGTATCAGAGCTCGGTTTTTGAGATTAAATGCATTAGATCTGTAAATTTGTTTACGATGCATAAATTATCTTCATCTTCCAAGAATTGCTAAGTAGCAATGGTCATCGTCGACCTCGCTGTGAATCTACGACTATGTCGGGTAGCGTGCGCATCATAGAACCCGTCCCGTACACGGGCATCACAAAACTCGTCCATGTGACAACCGGCTGTGTAGGCTGGAAATGCCGCAGGCAGTTGTGCACAGGCGACGACCGCACGCAGGCAGAGAACCCCGGCGACGACCATGTGTGCGAGAAGGTTGCGCCCATGTGGCGACCGTGTGCGAGTAGTGGCAGCCACGTGATGGTAGCACCGTGGCGACAATGGCCGCGTTCAGGCTAGAATTGTCACCGACATCCATGTACAGGCAACAGCCCGCACAGGCGGCCGCGCCGCAAGCACCAACGGCAGCACCGCACAAGCTCGCGACGGCGACGACGAAGGTAGATTAGGGTTTTTGGCATAATTATGGTTTAGCCTTCGAGGCTAGGGTTTTATAAAATTATAGTTTTGCCATTTGTAAATTTCATAATTTTAGTTTATGTGCTGTAAATATATTTACGGTTTTACCTTCGGGTTTAATATCTGCCAATTACAGTTCTGTCATTTGCATATGTCCGATTTATATCCTTTCAAATATTTACGATTTTATTAAAATTAAGAAATTTAGTTTATATTCTTAATTATAAAATTGATAAATATGATTTATTATAATTATGATTAATTTTAATCATGATTATATTTTTGATTATTTGATTGGATTTAATTTTGTTAAAAAAACTATAAATTATGGTTCACTTTATAGTTTTCTCATATGAATTATTGATTATACATGTGATAAATAAAATTAAAATCTAATTATTATTTTTAAAATTTTATTTACTTATTCACATGTATATATATAAAATTATGAAATAATGTATACCTTTCACATGAATGCATGATTTATATGAATTATCGATTATATATGTAGTAAATAAAATATAAAAAAATCTAATTATTATTTTAAAAATTTTATTTACTTATTCACATGTATATATATGAAATTATGAAATAATGTTTACCTTTTACATGATTATATATGTTATCATGATTATCATATGAGTTTTCTTACTGATTAATATTCAATAATTATTATTGCTATTTATTATTGAATTGCTTAGCATTAATGTTCAATAATTATTATTGTTATTTATTATTGAATTGCTTAGCATTAATGTTTAATAATTATTATTATTATTTATTATTGAACTACTTAGCATTAATGTTCAATAATTATTATTATTATTTATTATTGAATTGCTTAGCATTAATATTTAATAATTATTATTGTTATTTATTATTGAACTACTTAGCATTAATATTTAATAATTATTATGGTTATTTTATTATTGAATTGCTTAACAAAAATTAAAGAAATTGATGAATATTATTTGTAATTTATTTCCTTAAGTTTTATCTGACTAGTAGCTGCCAAAGTGGCCTAGAATGATAGACTTTTGTGATATAAATTACAATAAAAGTTTTATCATTTATAGGATATTTGATATTTTATTTTATATTATTGCATTAGTCTTATAGCCACCAAAGTGATATGGACTAATGACTTATAAAATAATATTAAGGAATTAGTCCTAAATAATATTAAGAAAATAATATTCATAAAGACATATATAATTAGGAGATTTAGATAATCGTAAAGGAGAATCTAATTCAAATAATTATGTGATGGGATAGGATGATATTATTTTTGGATATCCTTGTAGTTTATGGTTGTATACCCAAAGGTAACAACACTATTCCACAAGAATGGTATCAGTCCTCCATAAATATTCTTGAGTGAATACTAGATATGTCAATATTTCACCCAAAGGTGTAATATAGATGATATCAATAGTTCATCAATTTTTGACAAACTCAAAGCATTAATGTTGTTCTATATTTTTTACAGTAGTACTTCCTCATATACATTCTTATGCATCTAGTGTCCCTGTACTATTTGGATAAAATTATTCAGAATGGTTAGAGCATGTGCAATTCACACTCGGTGTATTAGATCTTGATTTAGTATTATTTATTGAAAAGCCTGCAGACTTGACTAATGAAAGTATTGTAGAACAAGTTAATGAAATGAAGGCTTGAGAAGAGATCTAATAGGCTTAGTTTAATGTTCATAAGAATGACAATTGCAAATAACATAAAGACTTCATTATCGATTACAACTAGCGTAAAGGAATATTTAAAAGTTATTGAAGATAGACTTAAATCTGCTGATAAATCATTGGCTGACACATTAATAAAAGAACTGACTACGGTTCACTATGATGGTACTCGAGGAATTCAGGATCACATCCTCAATATGACTGACAAAGTTGCAAAACTTAAAACATTAGGCATAAACGTTGATGAGTCTTTCCTCATGTAATTTATTCTCAATTCTCTTTCTTCTCAGTTTGGCCCATTCAAGATTCACTATAATACAAATAAGGATAAGTGGGACTTGAATAAGTTGACTAGCATGTGTATTAAGGAAGAATTGAGATTAAGACAAGAAGTTCATATAATGTCATGGCTACTACTCAAGGAGCTGGTAATAAGAAAAAAAAATTGAAGCATTATCAATCAAAGAAAGCCTTTATTGTAAAGTGCTTCTTTTGTGGCAAGAAAGGATATGTGAAGAAGGATTGCATTAAACGTAAGACTTGGTTCGAAAAGAAAGGTATTAACAGAAGTTCCTTCTAACACTTGGTGGATTGATTCTGGTACTTCAACTCATGTTATAAATAACATGCAAGGATTTATTTCAATTCGGAAACCAAAAGAACATGAAAGATTCATCATTATGGGAAATCGTCTTAAAACGAAAGTGATATCAATGGGAACTTATCGTCTACGCTTAGAGACGGGTCACTTGATGGATCTTGTTGACACATGTTATGTCCCTACAATTTTTAAAAAATTGGTTTCTCTTTCTAGAATTGATGAGTTAGGATATTATTTTTCTTTTGGTAGTGGCAAACTCAGTATATTATATGATTCAATAAAAGTTGGTTCTGGAATTCTATATGATGGTTTGTATAGAATTAATTTGGATCTTGAGTTTGTGAAGACATTAATGACCTTGTAATCAAGTGTTGGATTGAAACGTAGTTTCAATAATGAAAGATCTTCTATATTGTGGCATAGACGATTGGGGCATATCTCAAGGAAAGAATGAAGGATAATATTTTGGAACATTTAGACTTCACTGATTTTGATATTTGTATAGATTGTATTAAGGGAAAGCAAACTAAACATATAAAAAAAAATACCATAAAAAGTAAAGAACTTATTGAGATTATTTATACTGATATCTGCGGACCACTCCATATTCCTTGTTTTAGTGAAAAAAAATATTTCATCACATTTATAGATGATCTATCTAGATATGGCTATATTTATCTAATACATGAAAAGTCTGAAGCCGTTGATACTCTTGAAGTATACATAAATGAGGTTGAGAGACAATTAGATAGAAAAGTTAAAATTATCAAATCTAACAGAGGTGGTGAATTTTATGACAGATATGATGGATCTAGTCAGAATATTGGCCCTTTTATTAGATTCCTAGAACAATGGGGTATTTGTGCTCAATATGTATTACCAGGTGTACCACAGCAGAATTGTGTTGCTGAAAGATGAAATCGTACTCTGATGGACATGGTTAGGAGTATGATGCATTATTCCTCTGTACTTGAGTCGATATGGGGTGAAACTCTTATGACAGCTATGTACATCTTGAATAAGGTTCCTAGTAAATTAGTTTCATCAACTCCATTTGAGTTATGGACTGATAGGAAGCCCAGTCTAAGACATTTACATATTTGGGGGTGTCCTGTAGAGATAAGAGTATTCAATCCACATGAAAAGAAATTGGATCCAAGAACTATTTCAGGATATTTTATTGGTTATCCAGAAAGATCCAAGGGATACAGATTTTATTGCCCTAATCAAGAATAGTAGAATCTAGTAATACAAAATTTCTAAAAAATGACGAAATCAGTGGGAGTGAAAAATCTCGAAAGATTAATTTTGATATCAAGGATATTCAGGTTAATTCTCCCATATCATCCCGTATTCGAGAAATTATTGTTCCTCAAATCAATGAGAGTATTGATGAGGGTGAACAACAAAATAATATCGAAGAACTCTCATATGATGTTGATATCACCGCTAATGATCTTGTAGAACAATCACAATTGGCAAATTTGAGAAGATCTCAAAGGAAAAGAAAACATACCATTTCTGATGATTATGTGGTATATCTATAAGAATCAGATTATGATATATGAATAAAAAGAGACCCCTTATTATTTTCATAAGCCATAGAAAGTAATAATTCTGAAAAATGGTATGATGCAATGAAAGAAGAGTTAAAATCAATGGTCCAGAATAGTGTTTGGGATCTCGTTGAATTGCCTAATGATTATAAAAGAGTCGGCTATAAATGAGTCTTTAAGACAAAACATGACTCAACAGGCAATATCGAACGATATAAAGCCAGACTTGTGGCCAAAGGTTTTTCTCAGAATAAAGGCATCGACTATAATGAGATTTTTTCTCCAGTTTCAAGAAAGGACTCATTAAGAATCGTCATGACATTAGTAGCTCATTATGATCTTGAGTTGCATCAGATAGACATGAAAACAACATTTCTAAATTGGGATCTGGATGAGAAAATCTATATGGAACAACATGAAGGATTCATTGAAAAGGAAAAAGAAAATTGGGCTTGTAAACTTAAGAAATCCATTTATGGCCTTAAATAAGCTTCCTGATAATGGTATATAAAATTTCATAATACCATTACTTTCTTCGGATTTAAGGAAAACATTGTTGATCAGTGTATATACCTGAAGGTAAGTGGGAGCAAGTTTATTATATTGGTCTTATATGTGGATGATATTTTACTTGCTAGTAGTGATCTTGGTTTATTGCACGAAACCAAGATATTTCTCGACAAGAACTTTAAGATGGTTGATACGAATGAGACAGCCTATGTTATTGGCATTGATATATTTAGGGATAGATCTCAAGGATTATTAGGATTGTCTCAGAAAGGATATATTGATCGTATCTTGGAGAGATTTAATATGCAGCTTTGCTCAGCCAATGATGTACCTATTACTAGAGATAAAAAATTCAGTCAAAACCAGTGCCCAAGAAATGACTTAGAAAAGAATCAAATGAAGAATATTCCTTATGGGTGCGCAGTTGGAAGTCTATTATATGCTCAAACCTGTACAAGACCAGATATTAGTTTTGCAGTTGCAATGTTGGGAAGATACCAAAACAACCCAGGAATGGAACATTGGAAAGCTGCAAAGAAAGTAATGAGATATCTGCAAGAGACGAAAGATTATATGGTCACATACAGGAGATCAGATCAGCTTGAAGTGATCGGATATTCAGATGCTAATTTTGTAAATTACCTCGACAGTAGGAAGTCCACTTCAGGATTTATATTTATGTTAGTTGGTAAGGTAATTTCTTGAAAAAGTATAAAGTAATCGCTTATTGCATCATCAACAATGGAAGCTGAATTTGTGGCATGCTTTGAGGCTACAAATCAAACTTTATGGCTGTAAAATTTCATCTCGAGATTTGGTGTTGTCGACTCAATTGTCAGGCCGTTGAAGATATTTTGTGATAACACTACAGCAGTTTTCTTCTCTAAGAATGACAAGTACTCTAGTGGTTCCAAGTACATTGAGATAAAGTACTTGGTGGTTAGAGAAAGAGTCCAGAAACAACAAGTGTCAATTGAGAACTTGAGCACCATTATGATGATTATTGATCCATTGACAAAAGTCTTATAGTGTAAAATATTAACATGTTTTTAGAATGCGACTTATGAGCAAGTCATAAAGGATATGGTGATATATGTTTATGTGGATGATATTATTGACATTCTTCTTGCTTAATTAAAGTTATATGTTTCTGTTATCTTGTTTACATTTATATTTATGCATATTATGGTTGAATGTAATAATAGGATCGTCTTGATAAGATAAATTATAAGGGTCATTATGGACTGTATTAGGAAAGACTAACAATGTTGTGGTACATAGAAGGGAGTATGTCATTGATGAAATATAACCGCTATGACCCACATTGATAGTTGGACTTAATATAGTATTATTATGTTTATTGGACTTATTGACTTATTTTAAAATATGACCATGTATAAAATACTTTTCAAATTTTCTTAGAATCCAATTAGGTAAAAAAAAATTTAAATAAATTTTATTTTATTTATTTTGATTTTGAATATATATTTTATATCTAATCAATTAATAGGTTAAGTGGAAGAATGTTAGGTTTTTGTGGCTCTTTTATAATTGGATAAGATGTATAATATAACTAATTGAGTTCCGTTGAAATATTTTCGCCAAGCGTTCGCACATGCTGTATTTCAGTTTTTCTCCTATTACACAACGATCTTGGATTAATAATTAGATCTATGCATTTGATTCCGATCCTAGTATAAAAGTTATTTTTATATTTTTAATATGACATAATTATAGATTTTATACTTACAATAATACCAACATCAACTTGATGCAGCTAATGACGAGGCAAAAAGGGATATCACTCCATCCCTATATCTTCATCTTCTTCGACGAGAACCAGAATGCCGGGCAGCCTTCAAGCTCAATTATAACCCTTTTTAAGCCCTACGACACCCCAACCTACCAAATCATAAATATCGACCTACCAACTTGTCATTTATTCTTGTAGAAAGAATTTATCCAATTAGAAAGATGACAGGATCTTATAGAATGGATGATAAAATCTCATGCAGTAACAACGGTGATAATAGGACAAAAGATAACCCAGAGGAGGAGGAGGATGATAGGGCTTCTTGAGATGGCAACGCGATCGAATGATGATGAGGAAGGGGGATAGATGGTGGTGGGGGAGGGGAATGGTGGGGCCTTTTTGAGTGGAGGCGGCTCGGTAAGGAAATATAATAGAAACTCAAGTTTTTTCAGTTTGCTAAAAGTATTTATTATTTTTTTGTGTTTCCGTTTTAGCCGCCAAATACTGATGAGAACGAAGTTGGCGAGTTTGTTATTATTACCCTTAATAATGAATGAGCTACTAACGATTTTGATGGGTCTTTAGAACGAGTCGTAATGTTTTGCAAGATAGCAATCAACGTGGTGAGTAGCCAAAGATGTTCAGAGCCAGGCTGCACCACTATTGGGGAACCACATCAACAACCACCTTAATGACATATATATATATATATATATATATATATATATATAGCTGACAATAACGGCCTTTATATCCCTATACACGCATATATCATTATTGTTAGCTGGGTCTTCACGCACGAAAACGACACTTCACTTGGTACTGCCGTGCTGACCTGTCGTTGCAGCAAGTGACAAATCATTCTTCTCTTCTGCATCGCCCCCCTCCCCCAAAACGCCACACAGGAATCGAAGTGCGACCCACCCCACCAACGCGTCGACTGCGTGGCGAAGAGTCTGCCACGCGGATGGGTCGAGTTAGGAGTGTGGGTCCCACTCCAAGTGGTTACCGCTGTGTTTGGCCAGTGGGAAGGGCTGTCCGTCGGCAATACGTTAGGCTCAGCCGTCTTTGATCGACCACCAAACTGCTCTAATTATACCCTTTCGGGCCAAGTGTTCATGGGACCCAACTACAAAACCCAATAATTGTCCGACATGTCACCCGATAAGAAACTTCCTGCCTGAGTGGAAGTAGCATGGAAGTGTGCTTCAGTTTCTTTGCTGCCATACCCTTTTTTTTTTTTTTTTTTATCTTTGTTAATTTTTTTGGCTCTCCTTAAATAAGAAAAAGAGTGTGTTTTGTTTTAACGTGAGGAATTACAAGCTATCCACCTAATCTTATCCGATCCAACGGTTCTTTTCAGTCTGCACCATGTCTCCCTCTTTTCCTTTTTTTTTAAGTGTCCTTTTCGTTCCCCTCTTTGCTCTTGGGATGGTAGAGGAGCGAAGGTAGTAGAAAGAGAACTGAGGTGCGTGCTCCTGCTGCCCTCGTCGCAGGAGATTTCTCCGGTGAGTCCTCCCAGATCCGTCGGAGATTTTTGATCCCTTTCGATCCGCGTGCCTTTTGTTGTCGGACGGCTTGCGGCTTCTCGGTGAATGTTGCTCGGTTTCTAGGCTGAATACTTTACCGCTGACATCGAGATTAGGGTTGGGTTTAAGTTCCTCTTCTTTTTATTTTCCTCGAAATAGCCTCCGTGCTTGCTGGCTTTCAATTGAATCTGGGTTTCCCTATATGGGAAGCTTCGTGGACGCAATGCGGCCAGTCTGAGTGCCGGGTAGAGATCTGCTTGGGTCACTGATCGACTACTTATGCTCGACTCTTTGAGCTTTCTCGTGTTTCGAATTTTGTCGTCAGATCTCGCTAGTTTTTCCCGTTCCAAGTAAAATCGCCTATTGCCTCGGTGCATTTTGGAAATTTTCATCAATGATATCACTCTAGCGCACTGATCTGGGTTCATGCGCAGGGTGTCCGCGATCTAAGGTCAGGATCTTGGGTCTTGGACGATGGGGAAATCTCCTGGAAGGTGGATCAAAACACTTCTCTTTGGAAAGAAAACCAGATCCCAATCTACCAAAGGATGGGATGCTTCGGTACGCTTATATTAACCGCATTCATTTTGACTGTGTATGAATCGTTCTCTCTTTTGTTTCTTTTATATGAAGGTGTTTGAGGATGGCATGATGAGGATCTCTGAATAGTATATAATAGAAGAAAGAGAGAAAGAAAGTATAATTATCTTCATAGTTAACAGTGTAAAAGTCCACTAAGAAGTGCCAGGACAATCTTGTGATTATGAACTTTGCATTTCTCATTGCCGATTCTTAACTACGATGGCTTATGCTTAGAACATAAATATCAATAAATCCAACAGTAATTTCCTTGTACCCAGTGACTTGGGCATAAACCTTACCCAACTTTTTAAATTAACCAAGACCAGTCAATTGAGAACTGGCCACTGCATTATCAGAAAGACTAACCACACTGATCTTGCAGTAAACTGGCCCAATGGGGAATTGTCTCTCTTGTGTTATTGATTAATGATTTTGTCAGTATAATCTCTAATTGGTAAAAGATATTGCCATCTATACCTCTTAATTATCTCTGCCTATCTGGTAGTCGATGTTGGCAGCATCAGAAGCGCATTTCTCATCAGTCACACCATCTTGTTAAATTCATGGATATTACCAGCATGCCTAATACTTAGTTCTTTTGAAAGTTTACTGTTTGTGGTCCACCAGAAAGACCCCATAAATTATTTGTGCAGTTAATCTTCTTTTTCTGGTTGCTAATTGCCAATATCGAATGCTACTTTAAATGTATAATGCAACCTTGTAGAAAAAGTAGGTATGGTTCTTTTCGGAAAACCTCACTCTTATTTTTGCAATTAAAGCATATATGCTCATCATTTTGCTATAAGTTCTCCCTGGACTTTTCATAAATATAAAAAGGAACAAGAATCCAATGCCATGGCCGAAGAGAGAAGGGGCAAAAGAAAGATGTTAACATTGTTTTGTTATATATATCCGTTTTGTCTTATATTCATATTAAGTTTCATTTTTCACCAAGGCCTTGGCCTAGCGGATGTTTCCCTTCTTCATATTGAAGAGGTGCCTAAATATTATGCCTAGATTATTCTTTAAACCCACCATTCTCAGAAAAAGTAAGTAATTATTTTTGTTCTCAGTTTCCTTCTGTAATTGTATTGTGTAAAAGCTCATTTTTTAAAACAGGGGGTGTATCAAGCTTCGGCTTACTTCTCCTATATTACTTTTCAAGTATAGAAACCTAAATGACATTCAATTTGTTACCTGCAGAAGGCTGCTAATGAGAAAGGCTTCGATGGTGGAAAAGGAGAAACTATATTAGCTGTGCATTCCCCAGTGATCTCTGAACCAATATCAATAAGTGGAGTTATCTCAACATCAGATAAAGGAGAACCATCAAATATAGGTGGTAATGCACCGGTTATTTCACATGTTAGTCAAGGAGTCATGGGACTCAGCACACTGAGTGATGCAAATGCAAACAATGGCATAGAAGAGCAGGCAGCAATAAAGGCACAGGCAGCCTTCCGTGGTTATCTGGTAACCTTTTGTAACTTTTATATCTTAGTACATGTTTGCATATTATTGGATAGACGCACTGTGATTTGTTCAGCACTGCTTGACACTACTATAAAAATAATTGCCAACAGAATCTTAGGGCTTTTACATTCCTTAATATAGATGACATTTCCCAAATGAATAGCCTACTTCATGATAGATGATTATAGCGTCTATTTGGTGCAGGCACGCAGGGCTTTTCGTGCATTGAAGGGTATTATTAGGTTGCAGGCGCTAATACGTGGGCATCTGGTGAGAAGACAAGCTGTTGCAACTCTACATGCTATGGAGGGAATTGTCAAGTTACAAGCGGTAGCTCGTGGAAGAAGAGTTAGACGTTCCATTAACAACCTTAAAGTCACTTCCAAATTTAGTCAGTTGAAGACTGCAGTAATCGCCATACCCATTGGCTGTTTTTTCACTGAGCATATCCTGGCTTTCTAATTATTCTTGCATTGTTATCTCCATTTAGCTAAAATTCCTTGTTTATCTTGGTTCTCTGTGGATAGAAAATATACTGTTTTTCGTAGTGAGTCAAACTAGAAGTTCTTTGCTGAATATGCAATGCATAAACTGCTGAAACAGATGCCAATTTTAATAATGAAGACAGAATCTGATTCTTTTTTCTGGTTTCTTATCATTTAGGAGGTACTAGTGCTCTAATGTGTGAGAATAAGGTATGAGTGTTAGATGCAAATCGAATCTGAGCATGTTCAAAAATTGATCTTGAATCTGGTAGTAAATGTTCTGAAATTCATATTAGAATCTGCCAGTGAGTCTTAGTTTAAACACAGATTCCAAGACAGATGTCCATGAGGTCTCACTAATTTTTAGAATTCTTGTTCTTGAAAATTTGCTCTAATCCATAATGGAACAATTTTATACTGAGATAACCATTGCTAGAATTACCAATATTCCTATTTGTTGAATCTTTTTCATAAGGTTGATATGTCCTTTCTTGTCTAAATTGTTGGTTATTATTATCCAAGTATGATGGTTCCAGCGTAAATTCGAAGTACAACTTTTAAATTATTGGTTATTATTATCCAACTTTGATGGTTTCTGTTTGAAATTGAACTTTTTCTGTGTTCTTTTATTTTTGCAAACTTGCAGTCTGTATTTGATGATCTTTGTATGAGATTCTCAGGCTACCAAAAGTACTTAATTCCTTAAAACATAGATATGGAATCTTGTTCTTCACATCATTTCCATATGTTCTTGTTCAGTAACTTCTCACTTGATATTAAGAATGCTTGCTCAAATTTTTTCAGGGTCCTATCACACAGGATGATTGGAATATGAAATATTCGTCAAATGCATTTATTGCACAGGTATGTTTGTTCTTTCTAACTTCTCTAGAGCAATTTTTACCAATGGATCTTTGTTTGGCCCAGCCATAGCCTTCATCATATTAATTATGGATATGGCATTTTGACTACTCGTGTTTGTTGAGTAAGACACGTGACTGTTTTGTGCAAGGCCTCTGCCGCAATGTCCCATATACTAGGGTGGTGACTGATGCATTGGGCAAAACATACACCCATAAGGACTGTTCAGTTTAGTTTGCAAAATTCCTGTATGTACCGGTGCAGTTTCACCAGGATTATACATTTCTAGTAAAATCTCTTAGAAGTATCGTTGCTAATGTATAACGCGTAAGCCATGACTTTAGTTATTCTCTTAGAGTCTACCTATTTCTTGCTACTTATAACTCAAATGAGTATAACGGCATCCTGTACACATGAAGTACTATTAGCTATTTATAATTTGAACATAAATATATAGGAGATAACTACCTGGTTGTATATTTGGAATGGCAATATTTGCACAGCTATATGCATAGTATGTTAGCTAACATTGGATTCAGTTTCTTGTATTTCTGTTAGAAGTTCAGCTACCAAAATACTTCTGTGCTTATGCTTCTTTCATCTTCTCTAGCTTCTCGCATCATCACTGCTTGCAAAGCCTCTGCAAATTCAGTATGACAAAGGAGACCCCAATTCAGTCTTCAGTTGGTTAGGGAGATGGTCATCCACCAGTTTTTGGCAGCCAAATTCCAAGTCAAAAAAGGCTATTGTTCCAAAAGGACAGACAAAACGGGGCAACTGCATTATGGACACTGAATCTGGGAAAACAAGGCACAGCATTCGTACAAGTCCTGCTTCTAATGTTGGAGCTGGTCAAACAAATCCCAGCTATGAACCTGAGAAAACAAAACGGAACCTAAAGAAGGTGCCCACTTCTGCTGAATCAGTTCAGGAACATCCACAGTCTGAGCTTGAAAGGGTAAAACGCAACTTAAGAAAGATATCTACTGCAGTAAACGATACTTCTGAGCTACCAGATGTTGAAACTCAGAAATCAAATCTAAGTTCTAAAAAGGTGGATGCTGGTTTATCTGAGAATCTAGGCCATGGAAGTGAGGAATCCATTGAAAAACCAAAGAAAGATAATTCTCCAACTCCAACTTTGGAGACTTTTGTTGAAACTGCTCTAGAGACTGTCATAGCAGGACCAGTTGATTTGCTGCTTGATGACAAGTCTACAAATGAGTTACAATTGTTGCAGCAGATTGATAACGTAGAGAACCATGTAGCCATGGGTGGGGAGCTAAGCTTAAAGGAAGAACAATTCTGCCATGAAAACCAGAAAATCAGCAAGCGGAGGTCTTCCTTCTCTACCAAATCAGAGTATGCAGAAAACGGAATGTCAAATACTCCTGTGCTTCCAAGCTATATGGCAGCTACTGAATCTGCTAAGGCAAAACTGCGGGGACAGATATCACCGAGGTTTGTATCAGAATCAATTGACAAAAATGGCTTTACCCGTCGTCATTCTCTGCCATCTGCCGATGGCAAGATGAGTTCGCCTAGGACAAAGCGACTAATCCAGACTGGTGGCAAGGGGGGAATCGGTAGAGATGTAAATGGTATGAAATTAAGCCCTTATCTTTTAGTTAGTGTATTGTTTAGAACTCATTAACTTGTCATTTCTTTTCAAAACAAGAAAAATAAAAAAGAAGTCAAAGCGATAATGACTTGAATGATACGTAAATGGTATGATAAAAAGGAATGATATGTAATAAGTCATGCGTAGAGGCCATGTGACTTGAATTAAAATTTGAAACTCTACTTTCAGCTTGAACAACAAAGTATAATCTAAAGTCAAAGTGAGAATAAATACCTGCAACTGCACATAGGACTCGATTATTTTTCATGGTCATGGGGACTATTTATATGATAGATCATCTTTCTTGAATTCATTTCTATCGTTGCGAATCTCATGAATTTTTTTGCTCTAGTTCATTAATTATAATTTTTTGCTCTATTTCATTTTATTTCATTGTTTTTGTAATATTTGATGAATGCAGAGAGGGCAATTCAGGTGGGCTGGAGGCGGTGATCATCTTGTGGGATTTCAAATAGGCCAACGAGACATAAATTTGTAGCTTATGTAGATTTTCTTCTTTGAACTGTTCCATCGTGTTATAAAAACCCTGGTGTGTTGTAAACCTGTGCACGGTCTGTTTGGATGCAGCCATGTCATTTGTTGTGTATATCCAATGCATGCCGGATTTGGTTTCTTCCAGCTCTGAACTTTGTTGTTGTATTAGACGTGTACATCATGTTTGTGTGATTGTTCATTTGATAGGAATAATTGCTCTATATGGTTGTCTAATGCATGAACTAAATGGGTCATTCGTTTGGTCTGATCAAGCTCGTCTGGTGACTTGTTAGACGGTCACAAATTGTTCAAGAGATGTTCCATATTTGCTAGCAGTCTTTGGGTCCTCAGGTAACATCCACCACCATCATTTTCTTATCATCAAACTTTGCAAGGATTTGGTACGAAAGTAATGTTAAATCAACTTGTGCGATACTTTTTTCTTTTATTCTTATTTGTTACCTTTATTGGTTTCTTAAATCTGTGTCACCCCTCTGTTGTCAATAAATTTGTCTGCAACAACTAAACCTGGTGCTTCAGCCTGACCCCCTTTCTTGGTTCGGGGTGGAGCTCCTTCCTCGTGGCAGCCAGGAGAGAGAAAGATGAACTACTGGCACCTAATCAATAATATCACTCATTCAAGCAATATTTTGTTGTTTTGTCAACTAAGGGAAAACTCGATCAAATTCATAACTGTCTCAATGTAATATTTTCCTTCTTTTTTTTTTGATTGTCTGAATATTCAGGCTAAACGATGATGGAACTGAAAAAGTAGAGCCATCACAAGAAGTCTGGGTGTACCTCCTCCTCCGCTAACAGCCTCTGGATATCACCTTCTTCCAGGTACTCGCTCGATTTTGACGAACCACTCTTCTTCCCCTGCAGCGCCGCCGCGACCTTCCCACCTCCCATCTCGGTACTCTCTGCATCGGTGGGATCTGATGAATTAGACCTTCCTCAATAAACTCGAGTATCGCAATCGACAAGTCAGATGCCTCCTTGCCTTCAAGAGCAGCTTGCAATCGTTTCCTCTTCGCGAGTGATGGCTTGAAGCCGAAGCAATTGTCGGTTCCCGCAGCGGATAATTGGGCCCGTCGGGTGCAATTAGGGATCGAGGAACGCCTCGACTTCTCTGGAGGCAGTTCCGTCGCTAGCGCCGATTCGAGCGGAACAACACGTTGTTCTTGAAAAAGGGGGGAAAACAAAAAAAGAAAAGAAAAGAGGAGAAACCAGACACAGCGCGAGAGTTATATAGCAAAGAGATTCATTCACGAGTACCAACCTCCTCCTCCTTTTGCATCGTCATCATCTGTCTCCTCGTGGGTTGGATCCAAGTATTTGGACCAATCCGTCCTCTTCTTCGCCGTGGAGAAGGGAGAACCGTGGGCGACGGCTTCCCGAGCGTCCGGCGCGGCGGACAAAGCGCGGGGGCCGTCCGATCGGGGTGGGACGGGATCGGAGCCGTGGGATCCGATGTCCGCCCGGGCCATGTTGAAGGCCTGGACGAAGCTGCGGAGGTCGCTGGCGACGTGGCCGCGCGCGTGGATCCGCCGCACCGACTGCCTCTGGTTGCAGACGGAGCACACCCAGTTGTTGCCGCTCTTCTTCTGCTGCTTCACCTGCTCCGACCGGCGGCGGCACAGAACGATACAATGATCCGAACACAGGCACGTACAGAGAGAAGAGAGTGAAAAGAGGAGGGCTCGTACTCTCCTACCTGCATCGTGGAGCACCGGCAGCATTGGACGGCGATGAAGAGCGTCGCCATGTGGGTTGTTGGGTAGGAGGGACGCCGTTGAATCCGCCAGAAGAAAGGCACGAAATCTGAATCCATTTTCAAATTTTGGCGCCCGCTAACTTAGTTTTACCCTTTAATTGACTCAGGGCATCAATTTTTTTATACTATTATTATTATTATTATTATTATTATTATTATTATTATTATTATTATTATTATTATTATTAAAATTAAAAAGAAAGGAAAGGAGGATTAGTTGGAATCAGTTTGCTCTAATTTATTATTTGACACAAATGACATAATAAAAGATCAAAGATGTATTTATTTATTTATTTAAAAAAAAATTCTCCTGAGTTGTTGAGATAAATAAACCAAGTCCAAATTCATGCTCATTCATTTAAATTACTTTAATGTGGAAAATATTGATGCAATAATAGTGGGCGGATCCAAATTCATGCTTGTTCGTTCTGTGATGACCATAATAGTAGCACCCGCTTAACATTGATTATTATCTATCTGTATTTGGCAGGATGAAAAAGGCCAAAGAAATAATAATAATAATAATAATAATAATAATAATAATAATAATAATAATAATAATAATAATAAACGCCTGATCGATTGGTACACCAACTAGCAAGCAAGAGAGGAGAAAGAGACAGGTCCAGTGTTGGGCTGAAGTTGGCAGCCACGTCCGTCACATGACCGATGGAACCAGAAGCTCGCTCGTGCGACGTCCACTACGAAACGCGAATGGTACTGGTAGTGGCACGGGAGGACATGGAAAGGAAGCTTTGTTTGGCAGGGCGTGCATGCGAAGACAAAGACGGGATCCTGCTTTAATCACAGCAAATCCGGACGAGAAGTGGGAAGACTGCCCTTCCGCATTCTAAAACCGGGCCGTTCGCAGGAAAGCCCTGTCATTCCCACGGGTTCCATATTGGCGCGTTCCCACGCCACAAAGGAGAACTGACTGGATTCACATCCTTCTCGTTTGAGGTTGGGCAGGAGAAGTGGAAGGTGGAGGTGATGGGGGGTCACATGCTTTGCGTCGACCTGCCGGCATGGGGCCTCGGAGCCCATCGTCGGCCACGGGAATGGGCCGGCAGTTCCTTCGAGCCGAGTCGAGGCTGCATCATCCGAGCGGAGAAGACGACGCTCCAATCACATCTCACCCTCGTCCTCGGACGCGTGATTGATTGGAGTCGCGGCCAATCTCAAGCGAAACCAACAAAAGAGTTCTTTGTAGAGTAAATATTTCAGTTTTGTTTGTAGAGAGAGTAACCTTAACCTCCTAACAAGAAGGTGTGTAAAATTATCAAGATTTGTTTTCTAGAAAGATGGACAGAAGAGTTCATATTTGGTATGTATAATGTATATGATGAATATAATCAACTTATGGAGACGATGATGATGACTCAACACTTGAAAAAGGATTATCCTCTACCATTTGACTAAAATGATAGTTGGAAGCAGTCGACATCAGTGCGAATGGTTATATTGGCACTACAACAACATTTACTGCGGACTTTCAATTCGATGACGATCGAATATTTATTACTACACCTCACCGTTTTTTATTTATAAAATATAAAATATAAAATATATATAATATAAATGTTTTTTTTTAATTTAAATTCTCCGAATCTCCTACTAACTATTGATTTAAGCATCAAAAAGAATATTTTTGGGACATATATATATATATATATATATATATATATATATATATCCAACATATTTCTTACAAATTCCTCCCCTTTCAATACTCATCCTTATGGGCAAGCTTGAAAATTAAAATTCCTCACGAATCATACAATCATAATCCAATTTTAAAACATCTTTTGCCCGTTGTTCCTTTACGCACTCTCTCCATGGTGATGCACCGACCACATCTCAGCCTTGGCATCTAACCTCTTTACGTTAAATCTACACCAATGAATGAATGAATGAATGAATTGCCGTCGGCCGCCTCACCACCTTTCAACCCCTAATACTTCACCTACACCGTCCCATTCCGCTTCTGCACTCCGTCAAATTTTTCTCTGCCAGCATGTGCCACTGCTTCATCTCCCTACCATATATATACCAGCTATCAGTTGCACCCTCTCTCTCTCTCTCTCTCTCTCTCTGCCCCGTCCCTACTTACCAAACCCCATAATCCAATATTCAAGAGCGATGGGGAAGAACGGCCTTCAGAAATCTCTCCAAACCTATCTGTCCAAGCTCAACAAGGTTCCGTCTCATCTACACACTCCGAATTCCCCAAAACCGGCCGCCGCCAGTTGGCTGCTGTCGGCGTGCAAGTATCCCAGGACCCCTTCCTTCGCCGTCGACCGCGACCTCCCCGACCACAGCGCCCGCGATCCCTCCGCCACCCTATCCGACGACGACTGCTTCCAATACGAGAAGTTCCACTCCCTCTACTCGCGCGAGGACGCGGGTGACGACTTCACCTCCGAGTCGCTGAGGTACGACGAGGACCCGGCCCCCACCGCGTTCCGCCCGACGGAGCGCTTCTTCGTATCACCCGCCACGTCCAACTCCCTTCTCCGAGATCCTAGACCAAGCGCCGCCGCCTCGTCTTCCTCGCCGTCGTGCTCCTTCTCCTCCTGTACGTCGGATCCCAGGCCGGCGGTCCCGGGCGGCGGGGTGGCGGTAATGACGTACTCCAAGGACCCCTACGACGACTTCCGGCGGTCCATGCAGGACATGGTGGAGGCGCGGCACCTGGACCCCAACCGGGCGTCGGACTGGGATTTCATGGAGGAGCTCCTCTTCTGCTACCTGGAACTCAACGACCGAAACGTGCACAAGGACATCCTGAGGGCCTTCACTGATGTCATCGTCAGCGTCCGCCGGCGGGACATGGCGTTGCGTCGAAGAGCACCGGGGGGGTAACAAGGGGAGGAGGAATAGTAGATCAGGCGAGGGGATGGCGCCACGTTATTCTCCGGCAGTCGGTTGATGCACATGGGAATTAATACGTCAGAGAGAGGATGGCCTTAAACGGCGGCGTAGAAAATGGTGAAGCCATAAATTTCCGGCGGTAGATAGAATATGTTATCATCAACCGCGGGTTGCCTAAGCTTCAGACCGTGGAGGAGGGGGACATTGCAACGCAACTTACGTGAGGCTCACATGCAAAAGTAAGATGTATACCTTTTGTCCTGCGTTTATTATGGTCACAAAGGAGTTGGTGGGGGCGGCTTCTGGGATTTGATTTGAGAAGCGAGCTCGAGTCTTTCCGAGGAGGGGAGGGGAGGGGAAGGGGGGTGGAGGTCACGTCATGCATGATGGTCATTAACTTGGTGTGCGGAGACATTTCGACGTTTCATCCCCGGAGGCATCCCTTTTGCAAATTGAAGATGCTCCACCCCAAAGGTTGATGGGAGATGGCCAAAGAGAGTAAAAGGGTGGGGGCGAGGAGAGAAAGGGGAAAATGGGAGCTTTGAGTCGATCAACGGAAGCGAAATGATCGATGGAAGTTAAATGGAAGACGAACACCGAAAACAACCGGCGCGAGTAAGGGGCAAGCCAAGCCAAGCCAAGCCGGGGACACGAACAGGGTATTTGGTGTTTGGTGCAAGAGTTAATTAAGTGTGTGTGTATTCTATTCATTCCGAGAAATATGAAAAGTTGAGGGCAAAACATAAATAAAATCAATCAATCCAATATCATCGATGGTAGTCATATTGTGTTGTGTTGTGTTGTGTTTGATGGGAGACCTCAGAAAAAAATTACAAATACCACTTGATATGGTATATTTTGGCAGCCTGAACACGTCACAACCAATACAGCACGCTAAGTCATAGCCCTACGCCACACGTCCCGTCCCGGGAGCTTATACCAAGAAGATATACCACATCTCTCGTCCCGGGACCTCGGGGCGATGTCGTCTGACACCGCTCTGCACATCCCAGAACGACGACTGGTCAGAAGGACCGTCCCATCTCTCGGGGGTCGGTGACGATGCCGAATCGACGCACCATCAACCCTCGCACCATAGTATAAAACCCTTGGTCGGGGCCGCATAAAACAAAAAGGGAAAAAGAAAAGCAATCCCTCTCGTTACTAACTTGCTCGTCGGAGGGGCCACAACCGGGAACCACCCGGTGGAGGCCATTTTTGCAGGAGGGCGACCACTTGTTGACGGCGAGGGACTCGGCACGGGAGCGCCAGCCGCCCGACAATGTGGAGTTGTTAATCGGCCCCAATCTCGACCAACGCCAACAACACTCCTTCTCGAGGGCCCGACCACCTCATCATCCAGATCACCCCGCAGTAGGCTCCCGACATCGACCCGCGGACCTAGCCGTGCTGACTCACCGGCCACGGCATATTTGTTCGCTAACATTTTGGCGCTAGAAAGAGGGTGATGTCGCTAGAGCATCTGGCTAGAGCTCTCCCCGAGGGAGAACCGCATGCCCGTCCTCCCTTCCGTCGAACCTGAAAGTCAGGTCCTCCCCGCTCCCAGAGATGGCGGAATTCCGACCTCAACGCTAGATCGCTACTGGCGCCTGTTCAATGACCCGGGGTTGTCGCCCCCCGGATTCGTCACAGGACCCTCGATTGTGACACCCGAGGCGTTCCTCGGCCTGTCCAAGCAAGTGCAAGCCATGGCGGGCATGATGCAGACGCTCGCTCCGCTCATTCCTTAGATCGTGCGACTAGCGACTCCCCCGACTGACTCGACCCGACGGAGGTCAAGCGAGGAGCAGGTCGGGACTGGAGAAGCTCGAGAGCAAGTGACGGACCCGAGAGGTCCACTTGGATAGAACATACCCGCAACCTACTGAGTCACCCTACCCCACCTCAAGCCTGACACCATATCGTCCGATTTGGCGGATGACTCGCTTAGGGCCCAGCTGTCCCAGGTTAATCATCGCTTGGACGAGTTCCAGCGTGAGTTTCGAAAGTCGCAGAGCGAGTCCAACGAAGACGGCTCAAGCGGGTCCCCTTTCACTCAGGAAGTACAAGACAAGCCAGTACCCCTCAACTTCAGGCTACCGACATTAGAGACATACGACGGCGGCTCCGACCCCGCGAAGCATGTCTCTGCATTCCGGGCTCAGATGGCCCTCTATGGCACCTCCGATGCATTAATGTGCCGGACATTCCCGACCATCTTGAGGGGACCAGCGCGAGCGTGGTTCAACCGGCTACGTCAATCCTCGGTCTCATCCTTCAACCAGCTTGCCAGGGAGTTCAAACAGAACTTCCTCGCCAGCGTGTGACCTAGGCCTTCCATGGCCACCCTGCTCGCATTATCCCAGTGCGAAGATGAGCCGCTTTCTCAGTTCATGGCACGTTTTGCCATTGAGATCCGGGGATTCCCGGACGCTCACCCTTCTCTAATCATGCAGGCGTTTCTGATGGATTTGAAGCCTTCGAGGTTCTTCTGGTCATTAATCGAGAAGCCGTTGGTGACAGTCTCCGAAATGCTCCAGCACACCAACCAATACGTCGCCGCTGAAGCATTGGTGGCGGGGAAGCATATGGAAGGCAAGAGGCCAAGGGTGGAACAATCCCGGGGAACAACCTCAGCAACCCTAGCACCACCCCGCCGGGGGCCTGATCGATAAGAGCTACTCCTGAGGCCCCCGCCTCTTCCCCTGAAAACCTCCCGCACTGAGATCTTCCTCCAAATTAGGGAAAAAGGTCTCTTGCGACATCCACGTCCCATGAGGGCCACTCACAAGGATCGGTCTAAATATTGCAGATTCCACCGAGACTACGACCATGATACGGAGGACTGCCACGACCTCTAGAATCAAATAAAGGGACTGATCTGTAGAGGCCACCTCGGACGCTAACTCAGGGAACCCCGGGAAGTGACTCCGTGCCCTAAGGAACCCATCGAAAGACAAATCGACGTTATCTTCGGGGGACCTGCGGTCGACGGCAACAGCTCCGCGACAAGAAAAACCTACGCCCGTAGCACGGTCAAGAAATGTCCCCGGCTCGAGCTTGAGCTTGAAATCACCTTTGGGGCCGAAGAAGTCGAGCGCTCCCACCACGATGATGCGTTGGTGATCTCCATCCAGGTCGCCAACGCTCGAGTAAAAAGGGTGATGGTCGACATCGGGAGCTCCGCCGACGTTCTTTACTTCGACGCCTTCAAAAGGCTCGACTTGACCGAGGGAGACCTCACCCCCATGGCGTCAACACTCATAGGATTCACGGGGGATTCTACATCCTCGCTCGGGACTACGGCCCTCCCTATCACCATTGGGGAGGAGCCAAGAGTGAAGACAACGATAACCACCTTTATGGTGGTCGATCTGCCCTTGGCTTACAACATCATCCTCGGCTGACCGACGCTGAACAAGTTAAAGGCAGTGGTTTCCACTTACCACCGGGCCATCAAGTTTCCGACCTCGGCAGGGATCGGGGAGGCTCGAAGCGACCCGGGGGAGTCAAGGCAGTGCTATCTCGCGACGGTTACTCTCCTGGGAAAATTGCACCCCGCTCAGGTCCCTGACCCCCCATGAAGGACCCATAGCACCAATGCCGTTGGAGCCTCCCGAACGGCTCGCCGAGGTACCCTTGAAAAAGAGCCGACCTGACCAGACCGTCAAGGTCGGAACCACACTCCCCGAAGTAGACCAGCTCCACCTCATTGACTTTCTAAGGAGGAACGCCGATATGTTCGCATGGTCCCCCGAGGAGATGCTTGGGATCAGCCCGGAAGTGGCCCAGCACTGGCTCAACATTGACCCCGGGGCTAGGCCGGTGAGACAAAGGCCGAGGAAGTTTGCTCCTGATCGATTGAAGGCAATCGGTGATGAGGTCGCCCACCTTAAAAAGGCCAGATTTATTACCGAGGTCCAATACCCTCAGTGGCGGTCGAATGTAGTCCTCGTTAAGAAATCTAATGGAAGCTGGAAGATGTGTGTTGATTACACCAATCTCAATCGGGCATACCCCAAGGACTGCTATCCACTCCCCAGGGTGGATCAATTGGTCGACACCACCGTGGACCACGAGCTCCTTACATTCATGGACGCATTCTCCGGCTACAACCAAATCTGAATGGCGACTCAGGATCAAGAGGACACAACCTTCGTCACCCACAAAGGAGCGTACTATTACAAAGTAATGCCCTTCGGCTTGAAAAACGCTGGCGCGACCTACCAAAGGTTGGTCGACAAACTTTTTAAACACCAGCTCGGGAGGAATATGGAAGTATACGTAGACGACATGATCGTAAAGAGCAAGGCCGCAAGTGCACACCTAACCGACCTGGAGGAGACATTCCAGATGCTCCGGCGATTCAACATGCATCTAAATCTTGCGAAGTGCATCTTCAGAGTCAACTCGGGGAGGTTTCTCGGCTTTATCATTCACCAAAGGGGAATAGACGCCAACTCGAAAAAGGTGCGGGCCATAGCCGAGATGCATTCCCCCCGCTCGGTCAAGGAGGTACAACGACTTGCTGGGAGGATGGCAACGCTTAGCAGGTTTGTGTCGCGATCAGGCGACAAGTGCCTCCCCTTTTTTCGGGCTCTGCGACGGGCTGACAACCTTACGTAGACCTCGGAGTGCGAGGAGGCATTCCAAAAGCTAAAGGCGTGCCTCACCCGCTTGCCCCAACTCGCCTCGCCCGAACTGGGTGAAACCCTTAGTCTCTACTTGGCGGCCTCACCACAAGCAGTCGGCTCGGTGTTAGTTCGGGAGGTGCCGCCTACTCAGCAACCCATATATTACGTCAACCATATCCTCGTCGGGCCCAAGGCGTGGTACCCCCCGATCGAGAGGCTGGTTCTCGCCCTCATAAAGACGGCCCGAAGTTGCGGCCCTACTTCCAAGCCCACACGATCAAAGTGATCACCGACCAACCGCTGCAACAGATCCTTTCCAACTTTGATGCGGCAGGTCGCATGCTGTGATGGTCGATC